ATTTTTAAAAGGGGGGTTAAACACATGCAAGTCATATAAAAAGGGGGTTCCAACCCCATGTCCGCTTACAAAAGCATTAGTTGTAAAAAAAAATAGGGGGTTTCAACCCCGGACCCCCCACACTTTGACCCCGGCCACTGACTACAATGATCACTGATTAGAACATTGTATGATTATAATTATTCAACATGTATATGAAATAAATTATCGTTCAAACAATTTCATAAAATCAATTACTTCTAAAGACGAATGACTAACTTTAGATATTTCTGATTTGAAAACAAATTGCATCAGATTACCAATCAATAAAGTTGTACTTTAATTTATTTTGTTTATTATATAAAAGAACATGAAAACTTGAATGCGTATAAATGATTAAATATTAGATACGAGTTGGTAAATATTGGGTACAAGTTGGTTGAGTACAAGTTGGCGAAGGTACGAGTTGACATAGATCCTTAGCGACCTCGTGTGGAATATTGTGGAACTATTTCATTCTTGATTTGTAAAACTTCTTGATTTGTAACTTGTAGTTTTTCTTGTTAACAGAAATTCTCATTGGCTGGCAGCGGTAACAATTACACTGACACATTCTCCCAAAACGTGGCTCAAACAAAGAAATTATATTTCACAAATTAAGAAATGAACAATTTTATGTAACGAACGAAGAAAATACGTTGACAAATTAAGAAATTGCATTTACACATTAAGAAGATTCATTTCACAAATCAAGAATTGTAGAAATTCATGTTACGGATGGAAAAAATACATGTTAAAAATTAAGAAATTACAATTTACAAATTAAGAAATTGCATGTTACAAATTAAGAAATTGCATTTTTGAAATTAAGACATGTTTAATTATGGCGGATATTCCCTTCCATAAAAATCTAGGTTCATCGAGCTCCTGTTTCGTGTCGAGTACAAGTGTGCGAATGTTGTTTTTTATCCTGAAATGTACCACTGAACTTAAACTTAGTATCTTTTTTCTCATATTGATCAACGGTTGAATTTGTTTTTGAATGACAAATAGACGTCACTTAATGGATGATGATGATGACTGCCTAACGTCCAGCGGCAAATTTAATGCATATTTAGGACTAGAACATGTTTCGTACTAGACCGACACGCTGAGCCCGATTTTTAACGTGCTAGTTCACAAGGTAACAGTCCGCAGGAAAACACATTATTCTGACTCCGAGCCGACCCGTCTTTATAAAGATAAGGAGATGTGGTATGATTGCCATGAGACAACTATTCCACCAAAGTTCAAATGATATGGATGGAAGCAAACGTACGGCCTTCAACTATGACAAAATCCCATACAGTATAGTGGGCTCTAAAAGGCCCTGACATGAAAAATATGAAACAGTTCAATTTAGAGAACTAACGATCTAATTTATAACAAAACAATTTACGAAAAAACAAATATGACATACATGACCTCTGAACAACATGCTCCTAACTTTGGAGAGGCACATAGATAATGTGGTGGGATTTAACATGTTTGTGAGCGTTCAACCCTCCCCTTAATCTTGGACAGTGGTATTACAGCACAACATAAGACGAAACTATGAAAATTAGTTGAAAATGGCTTAACTCATCAGATCATCAGATCGATACAAAGCAGAAAAACATCTAACAAAAACACAGACCGGACGTGGCAGGGTATTTATACATCCCTAACAAAAAAAAACATAAAGTACGAATCTGAGAGTACTCGGAGTAATTGAAAGCTAGTTCAAAGCCAATAACAACAAATAAAAATCATGTATCTAAGACTAAAATAGCAATCAGTAATCGAACATCCAATGGATTTAGTGTAAAGACGGCATTAACAGTCAGAGAAAAACATGACATTGTGCAATGCCAAAATTTAGGTATCGACAGATTGTTGTACCGTGAAAGTGCATATGTGTATAACAATAATATTTAGTATGTCATTAATTTACTGATAACAAAATCAATATTAATACCAATAAAAACAATATTCAAAGAACTAATTACATTGTTGAATTACTCTTACTCGTGAATACCGCGTGCTTAGCGGAGAAGTAGCAAAAACCATTTTTAAAGTCTTTGGTTTTACCTGGCGAGGGTTCGTACCCACACCCTCCCGCACTCAAGACGAATGCGCTACCACAAGGCCACCGAGGCAGTTGTAATTTAAAAAAAAACAAACAAAAAAAACAAGCACACAAATAGTTTAGTAATTTAAACATAACCGTTCGCTCGCAACAAACCCAGAATACCAGAAGGCTATATACTATATAGACATAGATATAGCGGCCAATAAGAATGTCTACCAGTACCACAAAAATAAAATGCTCCGCAGGGCGCAGCTTGATACGACCGCAGAGGTCGAACCCTGAACAGTTGGGGCAAGTATGGACACAACATTCAAGCTTGATACAGCTCTGAATTTGGATTGTGGTTAAATATTTGACACAGCATAGGTTTCTGACACAGAATGAATGTGGTCTAAGAACTTAAAAATTTTAAATTGGACATTCACCTATTATGGTCCAATATCCAAAATCTAAATACATGGTTAGATTAAGCATATCAAAGAACCCCAAGAATTCAATTTTTGATGAAATCAAACAAAGTTTAATTTTGGACCCCGATTTGGACCAACTTGAAAACTGGGCCCATAATCAAAAATCTAAATACATGTTTAGATTCAGCATATCAAAGAACCCTAAAAATTCTATTTTTGTTAAAATCAAACTAAGTTTAATTTTGGACCCTTTGGACCTTAATGTAGACCAATTTGAAAACGGAACCAAAAATTAAGAATCTAAATACATGGTTAGATTCGGCATATCAAAGAACCCCAATAATTCAATTTTTGATGAAATCAAACAAAGTTAAATTTTGGACCCTTTTGACCTCAATGTGGACAAAGTTGATAACGGGGCCCAAAAATCAAAAATCTAAATACATGGTTAGATTCAGCATATCAAAGAACCCCATATATTCAATTTTTGTTGAAATCAAACAAAGTTTAATTTTGGACCCCGATTTGGACCAACTTGAAAACTGTGCCCATAATCAAAAATCTAAATACATGTTTAGATTCAGCATATCAAAGAACCCTAAAAATTCAATTTTTGTTAAAATCAAACTAAGTTTAATTTTGGACCCTTTGGACCTTAATGTAGACCAATTTGAAAACGGAACCAAAAATTAAGAATCTAAATACACGGTTAGATTCAGCATATCAAAGAACCCCAATAATTCAATTTTTGATGAAATCAAACAAAGTTAAATTTTGGACCCTTTGGACCTCAATGTGGACCAATTTAAAAACGGGGCCCAAAATCCAAAAACTTAATACACGGTTAGATTCAGCATATTAAAGAACCCCAAGAATTCAAGAATAAAACCCCATTGAAATTGATCAAGAAATAAGCAATTTATACGAAGTATCTTCTTTTGCACAATACTGTGCAATTGAATATTTCTTGCTATTGCGCAATACTGTACAATTGACAATTTCTTGCTATTGCGCAATATTGTGCTATTGGATATTTCTTGCTATTGCGCAATACTGTGCAATTGAAGATTTCTTGCTATTGCGCAATACTGTGCAATTGAAGATTTCTTGCTATTGTGCAATACTGTGCAATTGAAAATTTCTTGCTATTGCACAATACTTATTAGATAATAATTTACACATCCTGTTTGGTGTGTATCTCCTACCATATCATTATTATTTGCTTTTAAATATTAATCAGAAATAACCAACTTAAAATGGAAAATTTTAAAAGAAAAAAAAAAGGAAAAAAAGAAAAAAAAAGAAAAAAAAAAATCCCCCCCCCCAAATTTTTTGAACCCCCTTATGATTCATCACCCCCAAACTCAATCCCAGCCTTCCCTTTGTGGTATGGTACCTTGCAGTACAATTTCAGAGGGATCCATACACTTGAACACAAGTTATTGTCTGGAAACTAGAAAAAATGCTTATTTTTGGCCCCTTTTTGGCCCCCAATTCCTAAACGTTTCGGGCAATTACCCCCAAACTCAATTCCAGCTTTCCCTTTGTGATATGGAACCTTGTAGTACAATTTCAGAAATATCCAAACACTTACACACAAGTTATTGTCATGAAACTAGAAAAATGCTTGTTTTTTGCCCCTTTTTTGGCCCCTAATTCCTAAAATTTTGAGGCAATTACCCCCAAAATCAATTACAGCCTTTCCTTTGTGATATGGAACCTTGTGGTACAATGTCAGAGAGATCCATACACTTACACACAAGTTATTGTCTGGAAGTTACAAAAATGCTTATTGTTGGCCCCTTTTTGGCCCCTAATTCCTTAACTGTTGGTACCATAACCCCCAAAATCAATCCCAACCTTCCTTTCGTGGTATTGAACCTTATGGTAAAATTTCATGGACATCCATTCACTTAAACTAAAGTTAGAGTGCGAAAACCAATGTGTCTTCGGACGACGCCGGACGACGCCAGACGACGACGACGACGACGACGACGACGACGACGACGACGACGACGACGCCGGACGACGACGACGCCAACGTCATACCAATATACGACCAAAAAATTTTTAATTTTTGCGGTCGTATAAAAAACCTGGTAAAACTATGTTTTCAAATAAAAACTTTGTAGAAACAGAGCTTCTGACATACGGCATATTCTTCAAAGGAATTATATTCATTACAATATTACACGAATGCAAATTAATGCAAGGGTATTTATCACAATCGCTTTTATAGCTTACCATGCATTATGGGCTTTGCTCATTGTTGAAGGGTGTACGGTGATCTTAATTGATTACATCTACTTCTTGTGGTTTTTTTGTGGATATAGCTGTCTCATTGGTCTTCTTAGTTGTATACAGTATATAAATAGACATCTTTTTCAACATAAAAATAAGAGATAATTTTCATATTCGTTCAATTTTTGTCGATTGAAATCAGAATGTTGAACTCTTTGATTTTTTAGAGATTTTGGAAGCTTTTCAATTGTCTCGTTGAGTTGCTGTCACATTTCTACTTTATTCATATAAATGTATTATCTAATTGAATTTATAATCTGGAAAAAAATAAGAGTTCACATAAGAATATCTGCAATTTGAGTCAATCGTTTCATTACGCCATACATAAATCGTACATTCATTTCCACTGATTTTCCAATCTGCAAACATTCCTAAAATATAAAAATGAAGTTTTTTGAATTAACAATTTCAAGTATTTGCTATATATATATATATACAAAACAGGCATTTTTAAAATTAAATATTGGGCTTTTCACATATATTTTGGGCATGCGTGGTCTAGTTAAATAAAGGATATTATTTCCGGTCAGACCATCAGAAAATGAAAAAATGAAATCAGACCACACACTGGTTACCATTAGTTTTGTACAAAGATATTATTTTATTGTCCTATCTTTTATACCTGCATTGTTATAGTTATATTATATAGCATTTCACACTTTATTTTATTAGCTCTCTTATCAATTATTAAGTTTGTGTGCAGTGTTGGAGATGATGGGTGAAGTTCAGTTACTAGTAACTGTTTTTGCTTTTGTCTTTGTAGGATAGTGTGTTATGTACAGCCATCCCATATATATGCCATATTAGGGGAATATGTTTCTGTGATGTCACTGATAAAAAAATTCAAACGATTCAAAAAAGCAATATAAAATAGTGTCGAATAAAGACAGAATGATGACATCGTGCAAACAAATTAAAAAAAAAGACGAACGGTACACAAAACAGCCAATGTAAAAGTAAAAATTAAGCAATTCTCTCGTACAAAAATTAAAATTTATAAAAATCGGGATGAATTACTGTGCTTCACTTGCCTGAAATTGTCTGCCTAATAATTACAATGTCGTGATACGTTTGTTAAAATCCGTTGATTGGTGTGGTAAAAAGGCTAAACCAGTTTCAACACTATACTTTGATCGTCTCCATAAGACATTTCTTTTTATTAACCATGTTAAACAGGCTTACCCATTGCCTTAATCCAATTGCGTGCAAGACTCTTCGCATTCCTCTTTATCGTAGAATCTGTTTTTATTCCCCAACGCCCCTTTGTAGAGGAACATTTCACATGAACCCGTCTGTATGTTATAATAGTAGAATGAGGCACTGTAAGGGCCAACTCCTGGATCCGCTGGGAGCTTACAGTCTGTATAAACAAATACATAATTATCATTTAAAGGTTAAATAAGTATATATAGTGACTGTTGTAATAATCAACGTGTTCAGAGAGCTATGACGAAATATAAATTAAAAAACTTGCCATTAGACGGGTTTTGCCTTTTCGGTTGTGGCCATTTCGGTTTTTGTGATCTCAACTGTTAACGAATCAAAATATAAATCGCGTATTTGAGAAAAAGTTATCACAAATTTGGGAATTCGTTACCACGGATTTGATAAGAAAATCCGCGATAACGAATTTAAAAAATAATTATGTGATTGCCAAATTCCACAAATTTGTTCATCACAAATTTAATCAGTGGTTTAATCCGTAGTAACGAATTAAACAATTTATGATAACGATTTTTATTCGGGATCACATTTTTAGAAATCGTGATAACAAATTTTATACGTTTAATATCAGTGATTAAAGTATTCTGTGATAATAATCTATGATCTTACAGTTAGTGAAAACTAATTCTTCAAATTCTTAATCGCGAATTTAATCGTTACTAACGGATTATAAAATTCGTTATAAACAATATAATCCGTGATCACAATTTTCAAAATTCGTGACCTCGAGTTCAAATTATATTCATTTTGGGAGGTCCTAATTTGGCTTCCGTATATTTATACTAAAACGATAATCCATTATGAGAAACAGCAACACACGATTACCACTTGATGTAAAATAGCAAATTCAGAGTTACCAAAACATTTATGAACAAGAGGCTGTCAGAGTGACAGCAAACCGGATTTTCCTGCAGAGGTCAAACCCTGAACAGTTGAGCAAGTATGGAGACAACATTTAAGCTTAAAACAGCTCTGAATTTGGATTGTGATTGAATATTTAATACAGCATGGGTTTGTGACACAAAATAAATGTGGTCAAAGAACTGCAAAATTTGAAATTGAATATTTACCTATTATGGTCCAATATCCAAATGCTAAGTACATTGCTAGAATCAGCATATCAAAGAACCCCAAGAATACATTTTTTGATGAAATACTTCTTAGTTAAACCATTTCTGTTTAAATGGAAATAACTTAAACTTTATTTCCATGAACTAATGCTAATCTAAAATTAAATATGATTTAACCATAGACTCTAAAATTAGATATGATGTAAAGAGATATGATGTTATGTTTATTTTTAAATTATAATCAAATATAGATAATAGTTTTCTAATAAATCTGTAACTCCAATTATAATTGGGTGATTGCATTGAAAATTACCAGATGTGTGTTAACTTATCACTTAGTGTATAAATCAAAATCAAACTTTATATATATAATTGATAGTTCCCAATTATTTTTCTTTCATCTGTAACATACTAATATAGATCTGCAATTTTAACTTTTTAACTTATAATAAATAATAGATTATTATCTAATGAATCATGCTTGCAACTTGAAAGGTTATTTCCCCTTGAACAGAACTATGGTTTAACCTTTTAACAAAGTACTCTAACATTAGGTATATAATTATTAATAATGTAATTAACTTCAAAATGTCTATCTCTTAAAAACCTATAAAATTTATCTGTAATTATCTTCAAAGTGTCTAATAATGTACAGTAAATTTCAACCTTCATTTATACAGTCCTACTAATAAATAATTAACTTTATAGATTACAGTCCTACAGATCTTATCAGGAAACAGAAAATTTTCAAATAAATCTGTCACTCCAATTATAATTGTAAGATAAGACTTTTACCATATGTTTTACCTTAGTCATAATTGACAACAAGAGAGAAAAATATTTAAAAATACCAAATTTGGATATTAAAAATGGCGATAACTCAAAAAGGAGAAATACTAAAATCTTGAAAATTGAACTAGACCTTCATTTAGTCCCAGGAAACAACATATTTAAATTTGAAAAAAATTTTGTCAAAGCGTTTTCATGTTATTGTGCAGACACTGTTTGGCAGCCGCCCGTCCGCCCGCCCAGCCGCCCGCCGTACAACCCCAATTTAATAACCGATATTTCCTTCGAAAATCCGGTTGAAAATGAAGAGACGGTCGGACATTAATTAAATTATTTTGATTTTGGTATGAATTTTAAACAAGACTCAAAGAAAATGGTATCAACTTTTCATCACAAACACTGTGAAGTCAGAGACACAGAAGTTAGAATTGATGCCATTGTTATGTACCGTCTTCTGTGATATTACAAACCCTGTGAAATCAGAGACACAGAAGTTAACATTGATGCTATTGTTATTTACCATCTTCTTTGATCTTACAAACCCTGCGAAATCAGAGGTACATGATTAAGAATTCAGGCCATGTTTACAAGCTGTCTTCTATGCCGTCTTCTGGGATCTTACAAATACTGTAAAGTCAGAGACATAGACCGTCTTCTTTGGGTCATACAAACACTGTGAATGCAGAAACACAGAAATTAGAATAGGCCATGTGTATATACCGTTTTCTGGGATCATACAAACACTGTTAAGTCAGAGACACAGAAATTAGAATTAAGGCCAGTTTTACATGCCGTCTTCTTTGGGTCATACAAACACTGTGAATGCAGAGACACAGAAATTAGAATAGGCAATTTTTATGTACCGTCTCCTGGGATCATTCAAACACTGTGAAGTCAGAGACTCAGAAAATAGAATTGGCCATATAAACATACCGTCTTTTTTGGGTCATACAAAAAATGTGAATGCAGAGATACAGAAAATAGGATAGACCATTTTACGTACCATCTTCTGGGATCCTACATAGATCCTCACAACTATCACGGTCGTGGAACCGGTTATTGTTACCACGGCAACCACTGTATACAAAAGATCCACATTCATTTGTTGTTTGGTTGTAGAAATACTGGTTGAATTTGAACGCACAGCCACCGATTGCCATTGGTTGATCACAAACTAAGAAAAGATATTTTAAATGAATCCAAATGAAAAAAAATAATGGTTTTGATAGCAGTTATTTTATTGTCTCTGTTTGATTTATTCACAGCTTGTATAGACTCGGGACAATGTACTAGTATATCTTAACTCATATTGTATAGGCACCAATCTATTGTTGAAGACTTCATGTTTCCCCTCTTGATGTTTATGGTTAGCTGTTGGTGTTGTCTGATCTTTTTTATATTCATACAGACTTTAAAATTGCATGACGGTGAGGCTTCCTTAGCAGAAGATGCTCACCAGACTGTCGACACACCTGGTTTCTTTCTGTTCTGATTGATTGCTCACTGTTTGTATGTATGTATCTGCAATAATAATTTTAGAATCGGCATACTATTGTCTTTCATATCAAGTACATTATATACATAAAATTTTAAGAAATGAGATATGTTCATGTTCATGTGAAACTGAAAACTAAACATTTACGTACTTGAATGGCCCTAATGTTGCGTTTCATGTGGATACATCTAACCTTAAATCTCAACCTCAGTAAATACACATGGCGTCTTAAAGCATACCTTCGGGTGATTGATCTTCCACATGACAAGCTGACTCACAATCCCAATAATCATAGAATCTGTTGGCGTTTCCAAGGCAACCACCATAGGAAAACTTCTCACAGGTTTTAGTATCAGTATTATAATAGAACATTATGGAGTTAACATCACATGGGCCTGCATCCAAAGGCAAACTGCATACTTGAAGAACACAATAAAATCAGTTTACCATAATAACAATATTAAAGTAGATCATAGTGACCTACTTTTGTGGCGGAACTTGTATTATTGTATCTTTAGGTTTAATGATCATAGGGACGCCAGGTTTTTTGTTTGCTTGGATTTTGTTTATTTTGTGGGTTTTTTTTTCAAGATAAATTTCATACATACCAGTCAACAAAGAAGAAAAACAGACATATGATAAAATAAACATGCATGTCATATGTTTTGGCATAACATTCCACATTAAGATTATTTTTGTTCGTTAAAAAAATCGTTTAAACACACTATCCGTCAGAAAAGTATGCTTTTATTTTTAATCAAATGATAATGGACTATTCTTTAATTCTTTAAATATAGAAAAAAGGAGATGTGGTATGATTGCCAATGAGACAACTATCCACCAAAGTTCAAATGAAGTGGATGTGAGCAATTATAGGCAACCGTACGGTCTTCAACAAAGACAAAAACCCATACCGTATAGTCGGCTATAAAAGGCCCCAACATGAAAAATATGAAACAATTCCTCACTTGACACAGGACATAAAGAATGTAGATCCCCTAATAAACTGACACAATCGTCTAAAAGCACAATATAAAACAAATATCGTTAAAAAATCAATTGGAAAAAGCTCGACTCATCAGATCGACACAAAACACGAAAAACCTTCACAAAATGATAGAAAACACAAGGATTCAAGTGTGATATCAGTTACTGAAAGCTAGTTTAAAACCAGTCCCAACTATAATACATAAACCATGTTTTCCCAGATTGAAATATAAATCAGTACACATCCAACGGATTTATAAACAGCTTTAGTTATTTTACCACCGGCGTCCATAGAAAAGCTATCGATTCTAATAGAATAGATATGTATTTATTCAGATATTTAGAGCAAGCATACTAGAAGTACTGAATGATTTTTCTTTGTTTCCTTTGCCTCCCCTTTTGTGAATGTTATTGAGCTGATATATATAGTGTACATATGTTTCTCCTCTAAATACAATTTACTTACTTACTAACATATATGATCACCGACATGTTTCCAAAGTTATATTCTTATAGATTATACATTTGAAATAATGCATGTACGCTATCATAATATATTTTTAAAAGAAACATTTCTTAAGTGTCTTGTCATTGCAAATAAAATACCAAACGAATGGGAAGATGTTCATAAAATAGAAAATAGTTCTTCATAAGTCTAACCGAATTATTGCGCTTGTTTTGAATAGGCCTATAATTTTCGAGACCGATTTAATTTAGGTTAGGAAAATAACGCGAATATAAGTAGTCGCGAATATTCAGAATTTATGTCTTCCGGTAATGAAATAGATGACGAAAATTAGAAAATCGCGAAAATAAATCGCCACAAAGTCGACTGGCAATGGCTAAACTCTTAATAAAGTATCCGCAAAAATATGTTGGTTTACAGTAGTTATTTATACATACCATCATCAGGATCATCAGGCTCCGAGGTAACTAATCCTTCAGTTGTTTCTGGTTGTGAACTTGTCGCAAGATCATTATCCAAATCTGTAGTCCTAATTATGCTTGCCACAGAAACATTCAAGAAAGCAAGAGCTATTACCAAACGTTGTGTAATCATCTTTACAAAGATACTGTTTGAAGTACACTTGATACATCTTGTGCTTATGAATCAAATTTGAACTCACATGAAACATAAAATTTCAATAATAAACAGGAAGAAATCGCCATTAAAAAATTAATCGCTTCTGTTAAAATCATTTCGACTTGGCGTTTTTCCGACATGCAGTGTTACCATACATAAATTATTATGAATCTTAGTAAACATCAGTCAGAAGATGTTTACATGATGCAGTACTTATGACTAGTGTAATGCTTAAATTTCTTTCGTTTTGGCAATATTGTTAGATTTTACCACCAGAAATCTTTAACTGCATGTATTAAAAGTTCGCCTTTTTTATTTTATTTTATTCATTTTTATTTTTAGTTTTCACATTTGAATCATACTTTTGATCTTGAATTAACCCAGGATATCAGGTTATTCAACCCAAATCAGTTTAATAGTTATTCAGTTAAAAGAGGATACATAGAAAAGAAATTATCTGTCATTATATCATAGACTATTTGTATTTAGAAAACCATTGTAAAAACTATCCTCTAAATAAATCTACTTATTTCAAATATTTACATTTCTGAATATTTTCCTTGTTGTCTCTTCCTTTTATTTAGAGACAAATTTTTATTATTTTTTTTTTATAGATAGAAAATCTATTCTATTATTTATACCAGATTTAATTGTATCAACCAAAATGCCAAAATCAAACCAATCATCTGTAAAATTTGGTTATTGGAATATAGGTGGCTTATTTTCAAAGGGCATGAATAAAGCAGAGGATCCCCTTTTTCTGAAACATATAGAGAATTACGACATTGTTTTTTTAGTCGAAACTCATGTGGGATATAATTCCCAAATACACAATATTGGTAAATTTCATTATCATCCAATATGTAGAAAATTATCAAATAATAACCGTCATTTTGGGGGTATAGCCATTCTACAGAAAAGTCACGTTAAACCTCATGTCAAAATATTGATTAACAGTAATCCAGATTATCAATGGATTAAATTAGAAAAATCCTTTTTTGGATTTAAAAGTGACCTATTTATTTGTGTACTGTACAACCCCCCTGTTACGTCTAAATATACCCAAGAACTCTCTTCTGATGTTTTTGAATGCATAGAAAAAGATATCTTTCAGTATAAAAAAATGGGTGAAATTTTGTTATGTGGAGATTTTAATGCCAGAATAGGCTCTGAAAATGACTTTATAGTAAACGATGATTCAAAATTTACTCCAATTTTTGATACATACCCTACTGACAAAAACATTATGACAAGAAAAAGTCGAGACCAAAAAATTGATCAAAGAGGCAAAGAAGTTTTGGATTTTTGCATTAGTAAACAAATAAGAATTTTAAATGGCAGAGTTCTTGGTGATACATTTGGTAATTTTACTTGCTATACCCCCAATGGTGCAAGTGTGGTTGATTATGTTGCTGTGTCGGAAGAAATTCTTGAAAATGTACTGTATTTTAAAGTATCCAGATTTATTCCCACATTATCTGATTGTCATTGTAAACTTGAGTGGGAATTATCTGCAAAATATTGTGTTCCTGGAGAAAATGATATTCCAATCCAGTTGAAAAATATGACACCTAATTATATCTGGACTGACTGTTCAGCAATAAAATTTCAAGAAACACTTTCTTCAGATACACTACAAAACTACATACTAGAATTCAACAACAGCACAATTCAATTTACTCAGACATCAGTAGATGAAGCATCATCAAAACTTTCAAACATCTTTTTATCAGCAGCAAATCTATCACTTAAACGACCTTTAAAAAAACACACAAACAAACAAAAAAACAAAAAGTGGTTTGACGCAAGTTTACAACAAGCTCGAACTAACTTGCTTAATTATGGAAAAATTTATTCAAGATTTCCATATGATCCAATTATCAAAAATCACTTTTATAAACTGAATCGTGAATACTCCAAACTAAGGAAATATAAATACAAACAATACAAACAATCATTGATTAGTCAGCTGGACTCCTTGCACGAAGAGAATCCAAAACTGTATTGGAACTTAATTAATGAACTACAGGAAAAAAATGAAACTAAAAAAAAATGTGGAGTACAACCATCAACTTTGATATCACATTTCCAAAAGTTGTCACAACTGAAAGGTGAATTTCAAAGTAGATATACAGAGCTATGTGAAAAACTGAAACAGTTAGAAAACTCAAAATGTTTCAACGAGTTGGACTCCGTTATCACTGAGTCTGAAATATCCAAAGCCATTTCACACTTAAAATGCAATAAATCATCAGGCTTGGATAACATTAGTAATAATATGATAAAGAATGGACAGACTTTCCTTTTAAAAAGTTTTCAACAGATGTTTAATACTTGTCTGTCTTCAGGTATATACCCAACATCTTGGGCTGAAGGTTATATTACACCAATTTTTAAAAGCAACGATACAAGTGACCCTAACAATTATAGAGGAATAACAATAACAAGTGCAATTGGAAAGCTTTTTAATAGAATATTAAGTCTAAGACTGGACAAATTTCTTCAGGAACATAATATTATACATGATAGTCAAATTGGATTCACAAGGAAAGCCAGAACTGCAGATCATATGTTTATTTTAAACTGTCTTATTAACAAATACTGTAATTCAAAAGAAGGTAGACTGTTTGCCTGTTTTGTTGATTTTCAGAAGGCTTTTGATACTGTTATACATACAGGGATCAAGATTAAACTACTAGATATTGGGGCTGGGTCTTATTTTTATAACATTATTAAAAGTATGTATGAAATTAGCAAATCATGTGTCAAAATTCAAAATCAAGTAAGTGATTTTTTCCCATTAGATATTGGAGTCAAACAAGGTGACAACCTCAGTCCGAATTTATTCAAGATATTCATAAATGATTTGCCCAGATATTTGTCAGATACTAGAGACCCAGTTAATGTCAATGACAAAGATCTACATTGTTTAATGTATGCTGATGATATTGTTTTATTATCTACATCAGCTGAAGGACTACGAGAAAAGCTGGGAATGCTTGATAAATTTTGCAAAGATTGGTGTCTCAATGTGAATACTAATAAGACAAAGGTGCTGATTTTCAACAAGGCAGGCAGACATGTAAAACAGATATTCACATTTCAGAATATAAATCTGGAATGTGTTTCAAAATACAAATACCTAGGTTTATATTTAAGCTCATCTGGTTCATTCAGTTATGCTCAAAATGAACTATACAAAAAATCCCTGAAAGCTCATTTCAAATTAAGGAAAGATCTTTTATCACTTAATCCTGATGTAAAAACAAGTATTCATGTTTTTGACCACACTGTAAAACCTATTTTATTATATGGTAGCGAAATATGGGGGATGTTTAATTCTCTTTCCTCTAAATGTAAGAAGGAAGATATATCTTTTGAAAAATTATATGCAGGTTTACCCTGTGAGAAACTTCATATAAAATTTTGTAAATTTATACTTGGGGTACACAAGAAAACAACAAATGCTGCAGTGTTATCTGAACTTGGAAGATTTCCAATATATTTTAATATTATAAAAGGAATGTTATTGTACTGGTATAGATTAGAGAATTTAGGTAATAATTTTCCTCTATTAAAAGAGGCATATACACAATCAAAGACACTACATCACATGAATATAACATCATGGTATGGTTCAATAAATGTTGTTTTTAAAATACTTGGTATTGACTATACAAATGCCATAAATGCTCCATTTTGTGAATCCTTATACAAATTTAAGAAATATATACAAACCAAGCTATCAATATTGTTTATTAGCTGTTGGAAAAAACAAATAGATAAATTTTCAGACAGTAAACTGAAAACCTACCTTTTATATAAAACAAATTTTGGTTTTGAAAAATATCTAATATTGATCAAGAATTTTGAACTTAGAAGAAGTTTTACTAAATTACGTGTATCTTCTCATAGATTACAAATAGAATTAGGTAGATATCAGGGTATTCCCCGAATTAACAGAATATGTAATAAATGTTCTTCCAATACTGTCGAAGATGAGGCTCATTTTCTATTTGATTGTAACAAATTTGAGGATGATAGAAATTGTATGTTAGCTAGTATTGCACAATATAATTCTTATTTTAATCATATGAACAGTCAAAGCAAAATTATCTGGTTATTTAGTGTAGAAAATGTTGAGTTACTTAAAATAATATGTAATTTTATATACAAACATCTTCCTTAGTGAAGATTAGTTAAAGGAAATCTATGTGTGTATATACATTTGATTGGACATAGAAAATTATATTCATCTGAATATCACAAACATACTAGCCGATTAAAAAAAAAAAAATTGTTAAGATATATTATTTATTCAAATGTTCTCTTATATCCTTGAGGCATCGTCCCCTGGTATCAACTGCATTCAAGTTACCTATGATGCTTCCTTGTTTGCTTTTGATACAGGTAGGAAAGAGACATTTACACACATTTTACATGCCTATGGCCCATAAGGTATCGCCCCCTGGTGTCAGCTGCCTTTAGGAAACCATAATGCTTTCCTATTTGCTGCTGACACAGGATGAGTCATGGACATGTTTAATTTCTACTTTCTTTTTGGCTAATTATTATATATTTAATTGATCCAACTTTTTGTGTACTATACATATGTGGATATCTATTTTTCTTTTTTTCTTTTTGGGCTGCTTGTTTGTTATCTATATCAACCACACTTGCAATAAAATGCATTAGTATTAAAAAAAACAACATACTATAGATTCTTTATATACGTATTCTTTAAGAACTTAAATAGTTCTCGTTTAACTTTTCTTTTTTTTTTTTATCTCATTGTTTGTATTGTATTATGAAAAAATTATTGATGTTGTAATGTTTATGCCCTTTGGGGCCCATAATTGGAAATAAAAATATCTTATCTTATCTTATCTTATCTTATCTAAGCTTACTGCGTTGTAACATTTGTTCAGACTTTATCGGTCTCGCCAATACAAGAGAACGAAAAGCATCTAAATACATAAATAAGTTTACTACAAAAATGAAAAATAAAAAACCAATTCAGACGGTATGTGTCCGAATTTTTCGAAAATTTTACTGAATTACAATAAATCATTTCATTGACCTTTCTGTGCCTTTGAGAGGGTATTTATCAGAAGATTATAAACATGACTATTAAAATCAAGTGTATTGGAATATGCTAAACTAACAGCTAAATTAATTTTAAATAGGCCATTCTCCAAATAATTAAAGCCATTCTTTTCTTGATAATATCAGCATTGCCGTAAATCACGTATATCTAGATGCAGTTCTATATTTGTATATAAATAATAAATTTAAACAACAAAATGTTAAGAAAAACAGTATTTATAACTATTTTAACATTTAAAACACCAGACTATACCAAAGTGGACAATAAGATCGTAAGTCGGAATTGGACAGAAAACACCATGGATAAAAAAGGCAGACACCTTTTATAAAACACTACTCACATAACTAACAATAACCGAGGGCGAACTTCAGTGCTTCTGAAGAGTAAGTAGTTCCTCCCAAAATTACAGCCGTTGTATAACCAATGAAAGTCACATATAGTGGTAAATCTTTCACAAAGAAAAAATGGGATCCACACATGTAATAAACAAGAACTCACGGCGGGAAATACGTCAATGAAATGCGTCAGGTTCTAAATTGCTCGGAATTTAAAAAAGCTTGGAATAAATTGCAAATACAAAAAATTAAATCAGATTTGCTATTCACAAAAAATTCATTAGAGAAAATAAATATAAACAAAAAAAACAAAAACTGAATAATGATGATTGGACAGACAGTTTAAATAAAAACTTGTTATTGAAATCAAATTATCGTTTTAAATACAAGCTTAAAATGTCTTTCAGAGAAATCTCAGGAAGAGCAGCATGGAAGTATATAGTGAATAACTTTTCAACATTATGGGGGTCGGCCGTACCAGTCACATGGGGGTCGGCCGTACCAGTCACATGGGGGTCGGCCGTACCAGTCTCATAGGGGTCGGCCGTACCAGTCACATTGGGGTCGGCCGTACCAATCTCATGGGGGTCGGATGTTTCAGTCACATGGGGTCGGCCGTAACAGTCTCACGGGGGTCGTCTGTACCAGTCACATGGGGGTCGGCTGTACCAGTCACATGGGGGTCGGTTGTAACAGTCACATGGGGGTCGGCTGTACCAGTCTCACGTGGGTCGGTCGTACCAGTCACATGGGGGTCGGCCGTACCAGTCTCATAGGGGTCGGCCGTACCAGTCTCATGGGGGTCGGCAGTACCAGTCATAATTATGCTTCATTTAAACTCCTTCCTACACCCCAGGTATCAATTTACGGCCATGAAAACGATGAGATCGAAGTCAGAACTTCTAGATGACCAGCACATATCGTTTTACATACTTCACAGGTAAAGCTGTGAAACTAGAAATACTGATTTGAAAAATATGTGAATATTTTGGGAGAAGCACAAAATGTTAAATCCATGTCTGATCATGCATATGGACAATATTATATTTTAACAGAACAAAGGGGAATATAACTGCACTGACCTTATCCTTGGATAGGCATAAACATGTAAATGTGAGCTTTTAATTTTACATCATAATATTTTTACGTTTTTTTTCTATCATAATTATATGAATCTATAGTACATTGTTAGAAAGCATAGTGCTGTTTACCTTGCTTTCGCTTTTAGTAAGTACAGGCATTGACTTTTTGTACCATATCAAAAAGTAGTTTTCAAGTTACTTATGATTTGGTCATCAGTACAATTGATACTCGTAGTTTACATTCTACCTGGTTTGATTGATACTGGTAACTTATATTTTTCCCCAGATAGATTTCTGCTACCAACTGAAAAAGGGGAGGACTGAAAATCTATAAAACTAATGTAGTTTATGGCGCCTGTCCAATTACAGGAATCTTGTCAATGTTTGTCAATAGCTTTTTCATGGTTTAATTTGTTGAATGCTCTTATCATACCACTCTTTCTTATCTTTGTATTGTGTGTGTGCTTATTGAGAATAAGTGTTCTTATCAGATTATATTTAATCTGTATTGAAATCAAATCTTAGACTAGCTATACGGTACCTGAAATCTGTTGACCTCTCTATGGGGATTTTTTAAAAACAATATAGTTAACCAAATTCTAATGAAAATTAAATGCTGTACACTATAATCAATTCAGATTTGCTTTTTTTTTAAATTCATTCTTGTTTTTTTTTTACGAGTGGGTCAATATCCCCAAAATTAATACTTCAAAGTGGTAATAAATTAAAATGAAGAAAATTAGTCCAATAGTAACTACAGCTAAAATCAATACATCTGAATTGCCTGATTAAACCTTTTCTATGTTCATTGTAAGGACCAGTTACAGTCAACAACATTTTATGCAATACTTCATACTGCTGTTATCATCAAACATGTATTTTTATTTCAATTGAAAAACTGTTTCGTTTGATCCTATTTAGACAGGAAAATGCCAACTTTTTAGGTTTTTTTTTAGGCACCAGGAGGAAATTTGCGTTCAAGGACATGCTTTCATTGCTTTTAATAAGACAATGCCTAATTTGGGAAAATTCAGTACCATATCAATCAAAGCTATATTTAAGCTTGTTATAGAATCAAAATTTCTTTCAGAGGAATTAAAAAGATTTATAAATAAATAAATGGAGAATGTGTCCCCATGGACACAGATGCTGCCCCTGCTTGCATACAACATTATAAAGGGACAAACTCAAGAACGATAAAAGTGACGCTACCCAAATTTGTACTTGATCTGAGTTTTAAGGTAATAAGTATTTTGTATAAGTTTCATAACATTTGGTTGAGGCAACTTAAGTTAGAGAACGGAAACTAAAATTTTTGCAATTTTTCCATTTATGAAGGGACATAACTCTAGAACGGTTAGAGTGACGCTACCAACATTCAACCTTGATCTGTATTTTGTGGTAATAAGCATTTTGTATAAGTTTCATATCATTTGGTTGAGGCAAACTTACGTTAGAGAACGAAACTAAACATTTTGCAATTTTTCCATTTATAAAGGGGCATAACTCTAGAACGATTATAGTGACAACACCAAAATTCAAACTTGATCTGTGTTTTGTGGTAATAAGCATTGTATATAAGTTTCATAACATTTGGTTGAGGCAAACTTAAGTTAAAGAATGGAAACTGAAAATTTTGTAATTTTTCCATTTATAAAGAGGCATAACTCTAGAACGGTTAGAGTGATGCTACCAAAATTCAAACTTGATCTGTATTTGGTGGTAATAGGCATTGTGTATAAGTTTCATAACATTTGGTTGAGGCAAACTTAAGTTAGAGAACGGAAACTAAAAATTTTGCAATTTTTCCATTTATAAAGGGGCATAACTCTAGAACGGTTAGAGTGACGCTACCAAAATTCAATCTTGATCTGTGTTTTGTGCTAATAAGCATTGTGTATCAGTTTCATAACATTTGGTTGAGGCAAACTTAAGTTAGAGAATGGAAACTAAAAATTTTGCAATTTTTCCATTTATAAAGGGGCATAACTCTAGAACGGTTAAAGTGACGCCACCAAAATTCAACCTTGATCTGTGTTTTGTGGTAATTAGCATTGTGTATAAGTTTCATAACATTTGGTTGAGGCAAACTCATGTTAGAGAATGGAAACCAATTTTGGGACTTACGGACGTATGTACGTACAGACTAACAAGGGTAAAACTTAATGCCCCTCTGCTATGGCGGGGGCATAAAAGATAAATATATATATTCTTTAAGACCGTGTAAAATGTTGGATTTTAAATGACACAAAGATCATATGTAAATTCATCAAATTAGACACATCTCCGTGTTTGTATTTATATGACCAAAACAACAAGTGCCACACGTGGAGCAGGATCTGCCTACCCTTCTGAAGAACCTAAGTTCATCCCCTGTTTTTTGGTGGGGTTCTCAGTCTTCAGTTTTTTATGTTATGTTTTGTATAATGTTGTTTGTCTTTTGGTCATTTTTCATTTTTTGCAATGACACAGTCTGTTTGTCATTAACGTATGAGTTTGAATATCCCTTTGGTATCTTCCACATCTCTTTTTTCAAATTCTGAGAAATAAGAAGAGCTTCACAACACAATGTGTTTGGTTCATTCGACCAAGGAGGTCTTATAACTTTCTTGATTTGAAATACCTTTACAGAATTACAAAATAAGACTTGTATATCTAAATTAAATGGAAGTTTTATAATTTAGTGATAGATTACGGTAATAAGCGACTGTACCTGGTTAGCATTGCATATAACATTATAAAGGGATATTACTCAAGATTGGTAAAAGTGACGCTACTCAAATTCGTACTTGATGTGAGTTTTGTGGTAATCAGCGTTGTGTATAAGTTTCATAACATTTGGTTGATGCAACCTTAAGTTAGAGAACATAAACGAAAAATTCAGCATTTTTTTCATTTGTAAAGGGCCATAACTTTAGAACAGTAAAAGTGACGCCACCCAAATTCAAACTTGATCAGTGTTTTGTGGTACCGTAATAAACATTGTGTATAAGTTTGATAACATTTGGCTTGAGGCAAACTAAAGTTAGAGTATGGAAACCAATTTCGGGACGTACAGACAGACGAGGGTAAAACTTAATGCCCCCTCTGCTACGGCGGGGGCATAAAAATGTGAAACAGCATCTTCTGACTTTCTGTTCAGGTAGACTGATTGCTTGACTGGTGTTTAACACCACTTTCAGCACTATTGGTTATTTTGTGGCGGTCAGTTTTTATTGGTGGAGGAAGTGCCAGGAGAGAACCATGACCTTCAGCAGGAGAACTGATTATCCTAGTCAATTAAGATTGGTTTGAACTCGCAGTCACAAGGGTTGACAGGCTAGTGATACAGTAGTTGGAGTACTTAGACCACTCAGCCACTGAGGCCCCTGTTCAGCTAGAGTAATCATGAGTTATTTAAGGGTATTGTGTGGTTGTCTTAAAAACTCATAACATTAACTGCAGAAAGACAACAATATCCTAGTTACCGTTACGTTCTTTATTAGGCCAATATGTTTGGCCACTAGTGAAGAGCAATCAGGACAATTTTACACAATGTCTATATTTAATAAAAAAATAAAAATAATAAACCGGATTATTGCACCTAATAAAATTTATTATACAAATAATAAAATAACAATGTAATGTTTAATCTGTGTAAGATGTCCTGTCTTGTTGGTACAGCCTGTGCCTTCAAAAGGAACTGTTCCATTGGGAAATAATCTTTCCAAGTTAGAGTAGGTTAACATTTGCAGCTTGGTATTCTGACCTTTAGGAATATTCTATCTCCTGGTGCCTGCATAATAAAAATTACATTTCAATATACCATTAGGATTTAGTTGTTTCAAAATCTAACACAGATGTTACAATTATTGTTAGCAGACTAGGTGGGTGAGTAAATGTAAGTTAGCCACAAAATGATCTACATATAATATTTGTCATAGAACTTGTTTAGTGTATAGTCTTAGTTAACAGAGGACTTGATGGATGAGTGATGTATGTCTTCTATTTCCCTTTATTAACCATAAGAGCGAGATTGGAAGAGGTGTTTAAGGATTTCAAAAGAGCAGTGTAACCCTGCTACATAATCATCTGCTTACCAAAAGTTAGGAACAATTACCTCCTTAGTGATTGTTTTCAGTTATATCTTAATTTGACCTCAAGTGAATAAGGTATTGAACATGTTGATGGCAGGTTTTTGATGTGTCTGTTATTTAGACTTTTAGCGATTAAGGTCTGGATAAATTGTATAATTAAAAACAATTATTATGTAAGAATTTTTAGTCGTGTTTGTAGTTTGACAGAACATGTAAAGACATTTCAACCTCTTTTAAATAATAATGTATAACTGACCATATGATCACTATAATACCAGAATGTAAATACACAAATTTATAACAGACCATACAATCACTATAATACCAGAATGTAAATACACAGAATTATTACAGACCATACAATCACTATAATACCAGAATGTAAATACACAGATTTATTACAGACCATAATTATGATCACTATAATACCCGAATGTAAATACACATATTTATTACAGACCATACAATCACTATAATACCAGAATGTAAATACACAGATTTATTACAGACCATATGATCACTATAATACCTGAGAATGTAAATACACAGATTTATTACAGACCATACAATCACTATAATACCAGAATGTAAATACACAGATTTATTACAGACCATATGATCACTATAGATACCAGGATGTTAATACACAGACTTATTACAAGAATTCATTAAACTTTGAATTTTTTCAGTGGACTTCAGCAAAGTCATTTCATATTGATAATGAAAGAGAAGATATAATATGATAATTTGAAGACACAAAATCTATATATACTCTTGAAAAAAACACCTGTTTTAGCTGTTCTTCATCTCAAAGTCATAGTGAGACATTCTACTTGGGGCAAAAGCTAACAGCAAGTTCAAAATAGTTTAAATTACATGTTTGTGTAGAAATTTTTCCGAGATGTCTATTACACTAAAGCAATGGAGTGAAGAACATAGATGTGAGGTAACAACAAATAACAAAGAAAACTAACAAATACTGTCATAACTTGTCTGGCACCCTCAAAGTACAAATAACAAAGAAAACTAACAGATACTGTCATAACTTGTCTGGCACCCTCAAAGTACAAATAACAAAAAAAACTAACAAATACTGTCATAATTTGTCTGGCACCCTCGAAGTACAAATAACAAAGAAAACTAACAAATACTGTCATAACTTGTCTGGCACCCTCAAAGTACAAATAACAAAGAAAACTAACAGATACTGTCATAACTTGTCTGGCACCCTCAAAGTACAAATAACAAAAAAAACTAACAAATACTGTCATAATTTGTCTGGCACCCTCGAAGTACAAATAACAAAGAAAACTAACAAATACTGTCATAACTTGTCTGGCACCCTCAAAGTACAAATAACAAAGAAAACTAACAAATACTGTCATAACATATCTGGCACCCTCGAAGTACAAATAACAAAGAAAACTAACAAATACTGTCATAACTTGTCTGGCACCATCGAAGTACAAATAACAAAGAAAACTAACAAATACTGTCATAACATGTCTGGCACCCTCGAAGTACAAATAACAAAGAAAACTAACATATACTGTCATAACATGTCTGGCACCCTCAAAGTACAAATAACAAAGAAAACTAACAAATACTGTCATAACATGTCTGGCATCCTCAAAATACAAATAACAAAGAAAACTAACAAATACTGTCATAACATGTCTGGCACCCTCAAAGTACAAATGTTACAAAGAAAACTAACAAATACTATCATAACTTGTCTGGTACCCTCAAAGTACAAATAACAAAGAAAACTAACAAATACTGTCATAACATGTCTGGCATCCTCAAAATACAAATAACAAAGAAAACTAACAAATACTGTCATAACATGTCTGGCACCCTCAAAGTACAAATAACAAAGAAAACTATCAAATACTGTCATAACATGTCTGACACCCTCAAAGTACAAATAACAAAGAAAACTAACAAATACTGTCATAACATGTCTGGCACCCTCAAAGTACAAATAACAAAGAAAACTAACAAATACTGTCATAACTTGTCAAGCACCCTCAAAGTACAAATAACAAAAAAAAACTAACAAATACTGTCATAACATGTCTGGCACCCTCAAAGTACAAATAACAAAGAAAACTAACAAATACTATCATAACTTGTCTGGCACCATCAAAGTACAAATAACAAAGAAAACTAACAAATACTGTCATAACTTGTCTGGCACCATCAAAGTAGTATGTTTATATCACTGGCAACATCTAGTGGCTTTATAATATAACCATAGGTTTCAAATATGGTGCAGAGAACTTAAAATCAGTATAGCTTACAAGCATTTGGGACATGTATAAAATACAGTTTGTCCTTCATCTGCAGATCTAGTTTGCATTGTAGAATATACCATACCATCATTACCACACTGTGTACACTTCTTGTCTGCCTAGAAATAAAATACACTTGTATTTAAGAGAGGTAACAAATATCATCAACTAGCCTTAAAATAAATTACGATAATCCAAACAATAAATACTGTAAATTCAGAAATTTTTGTCAGGTTTTTATTAATGGAAGTAATGTGACTGGGTGAGTGTGGCAAAAATTGGAACTATATGAAATAGTAATCTGATACATATATCTGTATGCAGCTGTTCCTGAAATCGCAATAATTAACCGTATCCTAAAGATAACAACCATACATGTACATATCAGTATTGTTTCAAAAATTAAAATAAAATCCAATGAAAGTAGAACAAAACAATTATGCTGTTTGCTTCATATATATGAAATGACACCTTTTTTGTATTTTCTGATTGTTGGTATATCTGGGTTGGGAGGAGATCATGGTTTTGTTTCTTTGGAAGGTCAAATCAAAGATGCCTATTTGCTGCTATTGTTTTTATATATTGTTTTCATGATTTATCAAGGTCCTTGAGTTCAAGGTAAAAAATTATAGATGCCAAATAGATTATTTAAATTTCCATTTAAAACAAGCATTCTGAGAGTATTGCATGGCAACACATAGTCCCCTACCGATTAAGAATTCATTGTAGTGGAACTTGATCCATCACTTGTCATGGTGTAAACTATATAACAAATATCAGGTCAATATATATGTAACTTGATCCATCACTTGTCATGGTGTAAACTATATATAAAATATCAGGTCAATATCCTCAAGCATGAAGAAATAAAAGTGTGGAAAACTGATTATTTGAGTGAATTCAAAATTCAAACTTGATCTGTAACTTGTCATGATAAAACTTTATACCAATTATTAAATCAATATCTTAAGGCATAACAAAAATAAGTGCGGAAAACTGATTATTTGAGTGAATTTTCTAAGTCCAAGGACCATAACTCTGCACAAAATCATCAGACCAGAACATTATTCGAACTTGATCTGTAACTTGTCATGAAAAACTATATACCAAATTTCAAAGCAAATATCTTCAAGCATGAAGAAAAAAAGTGTGGAAAACTGATTTGCCAGACTGGCGGATGGACAAACAGACAGAGTGCAAACCTAAAGTCCCCTTCGACTTCGTTGGTAGGGGACTAATAAAGACTATATGTCTATTAATTCTGCATCAAGGTTTAGAAACTAAGGTTATAAACTGACCCCAGTGTATAGAAGTACAAGACTATCCAGTTTACACAGTATTAGATACCAATAAAGATCATACTAATTTTTATGTGTAATGTAAATTTGTCATATGTAAGTTCTGTTTTGATATTACAACCTTATTATAAAATTAATTATTTTAATTTAAAATATATTCAATAAAATGCCCTGCCGGGCGCAGCTTGATACATCCACAGAGGTTGAACCCTGAACAGTTGGGGCAAGTATGGACACAACATTCAAGCTTGATACACACTGAATTTGGATTGTGATTAAATATTTGACAAAGCATAGGTTTCTGACACAGAATGAATGTGGTCTAAGAACTTATAAATTTTTAATTTACCTATTCAAACCATATCATTATTATTTGCTTTTATATATAAATCAGAAATAACCAATTTAAAATGGAAAATATTTAAGAAAAAAAAAGGAAAAAAAGGAAGAAAAAAAAATCCCTCCACCCAAATTTTTTTAACCCCCTTATGATTCATCACCCCCAAAATCAATCCCAGCCTTCCCTTCGTGGTATGGTACCTTGCAGTACAATTTCAGAGAGATCCATACACTTGAACACAAGTTATTGTCTGGAAACTAGAAAAATGCTTGTTTTTTTGCCCCTTTCTTGCCACAAATTCCTAAATGTTTGGGGCAATTACCCCCAAACTCAAACCCAGCTTTCCCTTTGTGATATGGAACCTTGTAGTACAATTTCATAAAGATCCATACACTTACACACAAGTTATTGTCCTGAAACTAGAAAAATGCTTGTTTTTTGCCCCTTTTTTGCCCCTAATTCCTAAAATTTTGAGGCAATTACCCCCAAAATCAATCCCAGCATTCCCTTTGTGGTATGGTACCTTGCAGTACAATTTCAGAGAGATCCATACACTTGAACACAAGTTATTGTCTGGAAACTAGAAAAATGCTTATTTTTGGCCCCCTTTTGGCCTCTTATTCCTAAACGTTTTGGGCAATTACCCCCAAACTCAATTCCAGCTTTCCCTTTGTGATATGGAACCTTGTAGTACAATTTCAGAAAGATCCATACACTCACACTAGTTATTGTCATGAAACTAGAAAAATGCTTGTTTTTTGCCCCTTTTTTGGCCCCTAATTCCTAAAATTTTCAGGCAATTACCCCCAAAATCAATCCCAGCATTCCCTTTGTGATATGGAACATAATGGTACAATGTCAGAGAGATCCATACACTAACACACAAGTTATTGTCTGGAAGTTACAAAAATGCTTATTTTTGGCCCCTAATTCCTTAACTGTTGGTACCATAACCCCCAAAATCAATCCCAACCTTCCTTTTGTGGTATTGAACCTTATGGTAAAATTTTATAGAGATCCATTTACTTAAACTAAAGTTAGAGTGCGAAAACCAATGTGTCTTTGGAAGACGACGACGACGCCAACGTCATACCAATATAATTATGAACGCAAATTTTTTTTGCAGTCGTATAAAAACTATTAACTATATAATTTATATAGTATCTTAAGGATTTTTATCAAATTAAATATAAATTTTAAATTTATCTATTCTGAATATATTTTTGTATTGTCCAAACTATCTATACGTGGGCAAGACAACATACCATGGGTCCTTTCAGTTCTTTTTCTGTCTTGATCTCAGATGCTGCCTCTTTCATGTCTGCTTCATTAAATATTATTGTTGAATTTATCTCAATTCCATCAAATTCTGCAAGTAAAATATAAAATGTCTTTGTATTCCAGTGGTTGCATATAAAAAATGTGCTGTTTACTTCCAGCAAGTTCCGAAGAGTTATCTCCCATCTAAATATAGATAACAATTTTTAAAAGTGTTATTTACCTTGAGACATTCCGGTAAATAATCAAGCTTACATTACTTTTTTGAGTTGCTTTTGCTTGTTCATTGTTTTTATTGACGTCTTACACAGTTGCTATTTGGAATCATATTGATTTATTTAATTGCATTAATTTTGTATTTACTACTTCTGTCTGTTTTGTCATGATCTTTTATTTTTGTACTACATACTTAGAGATCATACCTTTTTATGTTGTAAAATATTTGGTTAATAAATAATTGAAACTAAGTTTCATGGTTTTTTTGTTAATTAATATTTTGGAATACTTCTTACAAAAAATTACCATTCATCAATTTCTAATAAAAAACTCTCAACTGTGCACATTGACCTTAGAATGACTACTGTTACACAATAGGAGACAACTCATGTTTGACAACATTTACTCTGAACTCACAATTCATATTATTTATACCAAGTCAGGTTCACTTGTCAGATCAATATTACAATTTATAAGTCCTTAAAACATTCAGCAAAGCTTGTTTCATTGAATACGTCAGTCAGGGGTAATACTTATTTAGGTAGGACCCCGTTTACACTTGTAAAAAAGATCGATCTTTCCTCAGATCAATCTTAAAAAGACCGACCTTTAGTCTAATGTAAACGAGAAAGATCGATCTTCAATCAGACTTAAAAAGTCCACCTCCAGATGTGGTTTTAAAAAGATCGATCTTCTTTGAATCAATCTTTCTTCAAGTGTTAACGCTTAGATTGATCACAATCAATCTTTCTTCAAGTGAATGTTATATTTAGATATGAAAATAAATTTGTGCATGTTCAGAGGCAAAAACACACGTGTTTAAAAACGATGGATGGGATAAGAACAGTAAATATAGATCCAACCGTTTTTGGATCATTCTTCTACATGGATAAATTCTATTTCTTTGCTGCAAATCCTAAACTTCAAATTCATTGACCTTTCATTTTTAAGTGATAGTCTTCTCACATTTCTTTGTTTAATGAATAAATGACGTGCGAACCAAAAAGATAATTAATAACTGCATACGAAATTCCAATGATCAAAATATTTTTTCCTTGATTTTGCAGTGTGTGATTGTCGGTGCAAGATGCACACGTTATAATACTTTTCTATTTTTACAATTATTTGTTTACGAAATGTAAAGTAATCAGGTCAGACCAGTTCTTTTTATGTTGCAGTGTAAACGCCCTAAATTAAATAAGATCGATCTCAACGATCTTGCTTGTGCAAATGTAAATTTCGAACTGGTCTTTTTTAAGATAGATTCAAATAAAGATCGGTTCAATTTCCTACAAGTGTAAACGGGGTCTTATTTCATGGAAAAGGTAACTTAAATTTTGGAATTAGAGTTATCTCCCTTAATCATCCAGGATTTTTTTTAATTAAAAGACACAATGAAGAATTTTTATGTGTTTGTTGTGGTCAGCTATAGAGAAATATCATTTTGCCATGGATATGTTTTTTTTGTCAAAAGCTAAAGAACATTACAAATATTAATAATTCTCAACAAGTTGCATCTAAGTGATTTTTCAGATTATCTCCCTGGTCTTTGAACATAGTTTTTAAATAATGAATTTTGTATCTTACTGGTTTTCATATTGATATAATTCTTAAACAGTTTCTACATCTTCAAATACTTGAATGTGATTAGTCCATTAGATTTTTTTCCCATGATTTACACTTTGATAGACTGTTGTCGAAACCACTTTCATACATTTGTAGCCTATGTAAACACTGTTAAGATTTCACTGGGATACACTCGTGGACTATAAACATAAATAAAAGTTGAAAAAAAAAAAAAACAAAGTACTTTGGTTGAGAATTATAAGGATTACTGGGAAATACATTTTTTCTAGAGGTATGTGTAAACTGGCGTGCTGAATCACAAACATTACAATTTTTATTCAGATTATCGGCCCCAGTATAACATATTGTGTTTAATCCTATAATATATGTAATGGAGGCCCTGTAATCAAGATAAATGTAAAATGGTCTGTCCCACATAATAGACAGACATGACAGAGGCCACATACCTTCTACTCTAATTTCATATTGACATTTTTTACATGAAACCAAGTCTTGAAGCCCTGGTAATGGTAACACTGTTCCACATTCTGGACAAAAGTCAAGGTCACTTTTAAACACAGCTCTTTTATTTCCTGACATTCTACTTAAATCTGCAAATAAATACATCATAAACAATTTTTTCTTCAAATACTTAATTCCCAAAAGACAATAATAACTGTATTCAACTAAAAAAGTCTATAAGGGAAGGAGTTTTTATGTTTTTTTAATTTCTCTAATGTTTTACAATACATTTGAATTTTTTTTTAAAGAGAGATAAATAGTTTTCTCCTTTATACATGTTATACAACATATGCATTATGTACGATGGTCAAATGACATATACTGTCCATGACTGTGTGCAAATAGCATGAATAGAAAGCACATCATAATCAGATAATCCAAACTCCCTTTGGCCCCTTTTGAGTAAGAATATATATAAAATCTTTCAATGCATTCCTCAAACATTTGGCTACATGCTATTTAGCAGTAAGAACTAGCATAGACTTTTTTCTGTCAAGAAACTTGCAATTAGTCCTATCATGTCTATAGGGGTCAAAATTAAAACTTACAAATTTTCATCCAAATGTGATCACAGTCTGGACCAAACATAAAGGAAATTTGTTAATCTTCATAACATTTTGATAACCTTTGCTTTAGGGGTGGTGGAAATTTGCCATCCATTTGTAAATTTCTATTTTTTTGGTTCAAACTATAGAATTTGTATATGTTTTAAATCTGAAAATTGATTTGATTTGATTTGATTTTTGGTGTTTTAACACCACTTTTAAGCACCGCTTTTGGGCTATTTCGTGGCAGCCAGTTTTTATTGGTGGAGGTCTGAAAATTGAAGATCAGTGACAATTCTGAAATGTTCTATAGACATATGCATTAAATGAATATCAGGTGATGTGTCAGAGATACATGTATATATAGAAAACATGGCATAAAGAGACATCAACCAAACTCCATAATAAAACAAAAAAGATATGGAGGTCAAATTAATCCTTTAAATGGTAAGCATGGTAAGGAAATGTGCATTTCATTTTCTACATGCATATGACAGGTACATCAAAATGATTATTGATCTGTATTTGATTTTGAACAGGAGCGTTTCAAGTGAAAAGGGATAACCAGACATTATTGGTGTTTGTTGTTCTCTTCTTGCAGTGTAACTTTAACGCATGCTTGTTCCTTTATAAATATTAGGCAGACTTCATACAGGAGCTTCTTATGAAGAAGAAAAAGATGCTGGCATTATCCTTCAACTTTTGGTTGAAAACAAAACTTTATGACAATAGAGATGATTTCAGCTTCCCAATTGTGATCTTTCCATTTCTAGGTACATGTAGCAACATTCCAGCAGCACCTGCATATATGGAGAATATACCTCCCTGTTGACACAATATTTCAGAGCTTTTATTTCCTGTCATGGTTTACTTGGCTCACAACATGCAAAAGGAAGCTATTTAGCCAAGAGATCCAAGTGGTGAAGTTGAAATCATACCTTAGACTGTTATTGGATATCTGTTTCACAGATGATGATGGATATGTTCCAATTGTCTTAACCAATAAAATTGAGAATGGAAATGGGGAATGTGTCAAAGAGACAACAACCTGACCATAGAGCAGACAACAGTCCACTTATCCTCAACTGTGACATACTGCATTGTACTGAATTCGAATAAAACTTATCACAGGTTTACTTACATGAGATCTACCAAGGGTGCTACATGTGTAGCAGGATGTTTACCCTTCCAGCTGAGCACCTGTCAGAGATCAGCTACCATGGGTGTAACATGTACATGTGGAGCAGGATGTTTATCCTTCCAGCTAGAGCACCTGAGATCTACCACGGGTGTTACATGTGGAGCAGGATGTAAACCCTTCCAGCTAGAGCACCTGAAATCTACCACGGGTGTTACATGTGGAGCAGGATGTTAACCCTTCCAGCTAGAGCACCTGAGATCTACCATAGGCAGTCAGAGCTCAGACATAAACAAGTCGATTTTTGTTTATGACTTACAAGTCAAAAAATGTATTTATTATAAAAATGTACTTTCATTTTCAGACTTATTTAAGTCAGAAAATGACGGACTTGTTAAGGTCTATTTAGGTTTATGAAAAGAATTAATTTTAATTAGTGGCCAAAGTGCACCACCTATGACATCATAAACTGTTATCACAGAGATATGTCTCACCTTTTTGTAATTTTGATAATGCAAATATTGAAATTAAAATAGCAATACTTTAACATATAAATTATGCAAATATTCAAAGTCGATGAACCATGACTGAAGGTACATGGCTAAACAATCTCCATGGAATGAGATGTGCCAATGCTAATACAACTGCATACCAAATACCATTGACTTATTATAAGTCGTTCCCTTTAAACAAACCTAAACACAAACATTAACTTGTAAACTATGTAAAAGTTTCAAAGTCAATGAACCATGATCAGGGGTGGGGCTATATAATCTCCATGGAAACAATACTTGCAAATGACAATAAATTTGCATACCAAATATCATTGACTTAACATTAGCAGTTCATCTTAAACTGATCTAATCACAAACTAATACATGTAAACTAAGCAAAAGTTTCAAAGTCAATAGACCATGACTGAGGGGGCGGGGCCAAATATTCTCCATGGAAATGAGATGTACTAATGCTTATACAACTGAACACCAATTAGCATCGGCCTACCACTAATGGTTCCCCTTGAACTGACCTAATCACAAACTAATACATGTTAACTTAGCAAAATTTTCAAAGTCTATAGACCATGACTAAGGGGGCGGAGCCAAATAATCTCCATGGAAATGAGATATGCCAATGCTTATACAACTGCATACCAAATATCATTGACCTACCACTAGTGGTTTCCCATAAATTGACCTAATCACAAACTAAAACATGTAAACTATGAAAAGTTTCAAAGTCAATAGACCTTGACTGAGGGGGCAGGGCCAAATAATCTCCATGGTAATGATATGTGCCAATGCTAATACAACTGCATACCAAATATCATTGACCTACCACTAGTGGTTCACCATGGACTAGACCTAATCACAAACTAATAAATTGTTGACGCCATCGCAATGGCCGAAGCCGGAAACAGCATACCTATGTCTCCCTTTTTGACTCTGTCAAGGCGAGACAATAAACCTGTGTGAGAGTTCACAATGACCTGAGCTATCTATATTTAATTATCTGATTGAACATTTTTACTTAACATAGATTATTTTCGTCATTTTGTGTGATTACAGATGGTTGCGTTTTAAAGTAAATAAACATTATCTCCGATTGTTTAGACTCTCATGCATATTTTTCCTTAGAAGACAAAGCATTGTCTTTCAATGTTGTCATAATTTCATGTAGATGCATGACCTTTTTATAATTATGCATGGGTCTTGAAGTTGGCCAATTTTGGTAAATTATTGACTTGTAGGAGTCAATATTTGCAACTCTTTAATTTAGGTCAAATATTTCTTGCTTAACACTAATTGACTTATTGAAGTCATAATTTGTCTTAAATTAAAGGTAGACAGATCTTGAAACCTTCAAATTCAGACCTCTATGAGTCAAAAGCAGATTTAGACTTATTTATGTCTGAGCTCTGACTGATAGGTGTTACATGTGGAGCAGGATGTTAACCCTTCCAGCTAGAGCACCTGAGATCTACCACGGGTGTTACATGTGGAGCAGGATGTTAACCCTTCCAGCTAGAGCATCTGAGATCTACCACAGGTGTAACATGTGGAGCAGGATGTTAACCCTTCCAGCTAGAGCACCTGAGATCTACAACGGGTGTTACATGTTGAGCAGGATGTTAACCCTTCCAGCTAGAGCACCTGAGATCTACCATGGGTGTTACATGTGGAGCAGGATGTTAACACTTCCAGCTAGAGCACCTGAGATCTACCACAGGTGTTACATGTGGAGCAGGATGTTAACCCTTCCAGCTAGAGCACCTGAGATCTACCATAGGTGTTACATGTGGAGCAGGATGTTTAAAACCCTTCCAGCTAGAGCACCTGAGATCTTCCACAGGTGTTACATGTGGAGCAGGATGTTAACCCTTCCAGCAAGAGCACCTGAGATGTACTACAGGTGTTACATGTAGAGCAGGATGTTTACCCTTCCAGCTAGAGCACCTGCGATCTACCACGGGTGTTACATGTGGAGTAAGATGTTAACCCTTCCAGCTAGAGCACCTGAGGTATTACATGTGGAGCAGGATGTTAACCCTTCCATCTAGAGCACCTGAGATGTACTACAGGTATAACATGTGGAGCAGGATGTTAACCCTTGAAGCTAGAGAACCTGAGATGTACTACAGGTATTACATGTGAAGCAAGATGTTTACCCTTGCAGTTAGAGCACCTGAGATCTACCACAGGTGTTCCATGTTGAACAGGATGTTTACCCTTCCAGCTAGAGCACCTGAGATGTACTACAGATGTTACATGTGGAGCAGGATGTTTACCCTTCCAGCTAGAGCACCTGAGATCTACCACGGTGTTCCATGTGGAGCAGGATGTTTACCCTTCCAGCTAGAGTAGAGCACCTGAGATGTACTTCAGGTATAACATGTGGTGCAGGATGTTAAATCTTCCAGCTAGAGCACCTGAGATGTACTACAGGTATTACATGTGGAGCAGGATGTTAACTCTTCCAGCTAGAGCACCTGAGATGTACTACAGGTAACTAAATTACATGTGGAGGAGGATGTTTAACCTTCCAGCTAGAGCACCTGAGATCACCCTCGGTTTTTTGGTGGAGTTCTTGTTGCTCAGTATTTCTGTCTTTGGGTCATATTATAAGGTTAACAAAAGAATTTGAATTTGTTACTTTAAAAAACAAAAGGAACAATTGTCTTATTTTGAATACTTTATATTAAAGTTTATTAATATTTTATAAGCTAATGTAATTAAGCAACAATATTAAAATTCATACATAAATTGAACACTGTTTATTGCTGTTTAAAGGGCGTTTTATGTCGTGAAGTTTAATTTACATTGGAAAATTAACTCTCACATGTTTAATGGGCGCAGACATCTTGGTTAGTAAAAAGTTAAGATCACTTAAATATCAATTGTATGAAACGAAAAGAGAAAAGAAACACAGTTTTGGGGAAACATAAATGATTATTGGATTTAATAAATAAAAATAATGAATTTTATATTTTATAACTAGTACTGAAAACAAATTATGAAATAAACTACAGATTCAATGAAATAGATTTGATGTTCGTTTTTATAGAAATTTTGCATTGTAGAGTAATCGACGTAAATAAAACGAAAGAGGAAAATGAAGCTCCTCACTCACAATATGCTTACTTCTAGTATAATAAAAGGCGTTAAGAAAGGATACCCACTTACAATTCAGGTGAAAATATACTTTTAACGTGAAATAGCAAAATGGCAACGGCTTTATAAAATTGGGAAAAGGGGAATTCATATGATGTGTTGACTGTTGTTGTGTGGCTTTACATGTAGAATTGACAAATAAACTTTTTCCCATAGAGAAACTATCTAAACCTCATAGTTTATAACCTCTCCTGTTCATATTTAAATCATAAATAAAGCATGAGGCAGGTGTTATATAATATATAATTGTGAACAGAGACACCCTGGTGTGATAGCGGACAATGTCCGATACTATTTGCTAAACAGATATGTACAAATTTGTGTGAAATCGTATACATATAGATTCTTACATTGGTACTAGTGGATTATCTGATTTATCCAATCAAGATAGTTAAATAAGTGAGCCTTGGCGAGAACTTTAAAAACTATCAAGATTGGATAAATCTGATAATCCATCATGTCCATGAGTAACAATGTAAGAATCTGCTTTTTAATGATTATCAAATAGATTTTCATTTTTGATAAACGAAAATCCCCTTCAAGGGCCTTCCTCATTCCACAAAGTTGTCAATTTTTCTTACACATGTAATGATGTTAGCACCTTTCAATGCATACAGTGAGCTGATAAAGGTTATGACCCTAAACATGCTTAAAAATGTTCACTTCTGTACTCGTACTATGAATAAAAAAATTATTTTGTAAAAATCTGTTCCTGTACTAACAACAAAATTATTAAATTTAAATTTACATGTGTTTGTTCTTTTATTTAACACCATTTTGTCCTAGGTTAAAGTTGTCTTTTTGACATTGAAACATCTTTTTTATTTATATTGTGTCATAGATCAAACTTATTCGTTCAGTGTATGTTTACTTGTTTTTGTGTATTGTCTTTTTGATCGAGTTAAGCCATTTCAATTGATATTGTAGGATTAAATATCGTCCGCCATGAAATTATGTCCACTGGACACTTTATCACAGTAAATTGTTTCCATGGACATAATGTTATTATGAAATATTGTCCGGACGATATTTACCTATGAAATCGTGTCCACAGGTGTGAGAGAGTGTCCTTCAAAGAAAGGACAATATTTCATATGAAAAAGTGTCCTTCATAGAAAGGACAGTATTTCACGTGAAAAAGTGTCCACTCTCAATACCTACAAAATATATACATAGCTTCAGTTTTTTTATCTAAATTAAAGTTTTAAAATTAGCGAGGGGGTTTTGTCTCTATTAAAACATGACATGTAAACTGGAGTTTTTTCATTTGATAAAATTTTATTTACAAATATATATTTACAATAAAAAGTGAATAGAATAAAACCCATATTCACTTAACATGATAAACATTGTTCATATCAATTGCTAGTTGATAAAATAATAAAATACAGGTTTCAGTAAACATGGTAAATTGATGTTGTAATTAGTTCTAATATAACATGCATTCTTAATCATGTTAATCATGTTAATACAGACACTAAAACTGAAAATTAAGAGTTATCCTTCTTATCATAACAATTTAATGTTCATCAGCATATTGTTAAAGTTTCTCTAAATAATATTTTAATTTGTGATCCATTATCAATGATTATATTGTAAAACAGTGTTGCTATATAAAAAGTATTTCTCAAAAAAATCTAAGCTATTTTTCATTGTATAATAAAAAAGCGCATATTCTGTGTACTTTTGAAGTGTATATTTAAAAAGCCTTATGCAATCAATATTTTTATTTTCAAATACTTTTACTTGTCTAGTTTTGTAAATTGAAAGTCGTGCTATACACCTAACATAAAATTTATCCAATAAAAGTTGAAAGGTGAGGCTTTTTGTTTTGTAAATGGCTAACCCAATAAAATCAATTGTGTGTAGTCATGGTAGTCAGGTATGTCAATTATGTGTGGCAATGTGCTATTTATAAGATTGTTTTGTAACATATCTGACAAGAGTGCATGGAGACCTTGAACTGTATCACACCTTAAAAACGTGTTCTAAATTCTCACTCATTAAACTATATAGGCAATAGGAGACAAGTATCACTGTCAGTCTTATTGATTTTGTATAATTTTTCCAGCGTAAAAATACTGTTCATTAAACTGGAGTATTGAATTCATACAAAATGTGATCATCACCGGTCATGTGTAATCAAACAAAAATTATACAATGAAACATGTTCTAATATATACACACATTTCTCCTAATAGTTCTTTTCTCATTGTCAGTTGAGGCTGGTGGATACTGTTTGTTGACATCTTTATAGCTTGGAATTCAACACCTTCCATTTTTGTTTATATCAGATTATAACTGGTTCTTAATTGGTTTGTTCAAAAAATCAAATATAGCTAAAACATTTCAGTGTTTTTTTTTATTATCTCCCTTTAAAGGACACCTTTTTACTATGAAAAAGGTGTCCTCATTGAAATTCAACCTTTACAGGACAGAAGTTAATAGTATTTTATCATGCATGCAATTATGTTCGATTGAATGGACACTTTTTCACAGCTTCGGACACATTTAAATATACCTTTTCTGTGAAAAAATGTCCGAGTGGATACTTTTTCACAGGACACTTTTATGGCTCACAATATTTTATTGTGTCTCTTTTTATGTTGTAATGTTAAACCACTGTTTCAGGTTAGGGTAAATGTTGGCCCCTGTTAAAACGTTTTAACCCGCTGCATTTTTATGCACCTGTCCTTAGTCAGGAGCCTGTTGTTCAGTGGTTGTTGTTTGTTGGAGTGGTTCATAAGTGTTTCTTGTTTCTCTTTTTTTTTTTATAGATTAGACAGTTGGTTTTCCTGTTTGAATTATTTTACACTAGTCTTTTTGGGGCCCTTTATAGCTTGCTGTTCGGTGTGAGCCAAGGCTCCGTGTTGAAGGCCATACTTTAACCTTTAATTGTTTACTTTTTACACATTGTGACTTTGATGGATAGTTGTCTCATTGGCACTCATACCCATGATACCACATCTTATTATTATTAAACTCAGCCAATCATCTTCTGAGATCATTGGCAACCACACTTGATTTAATTTTTTTATACAATGGGCCCAGAAAGGTTTGAATTGCCAAAGAATTAGAGAAACATTAATACAACATAGCAACATCTGTTAGCAAAGTGAATGTGCAAGTGCAGCTGATTTAAAATAAGTTCAAGATTTTAGATTCACTAACTAAATTATAGTATATTTACTTTTCTTTTCATTGATTTTCTTACTGTTATTAGGACTTCATCCTTGAATTAATGCATTTATACTTTGAACAATATTTCATATACTGTTAAGTTATCAAGAGTACAAGAATACCCAAACTTCAGGCAATTACCAGTCCAAATAATTATTGATGGATGGATTGAAGGCTGTATAACGTCCAGTGGTAATTTATATACATGTTAAGGATGAGATGATGATGATGGCTGGCTGCTTAACGTCCAGCGGCAAATTTATATGCATATTCAGGACGAGAACATTTAGCCCTGCTTTGTACTATACCGACACGCTGAGCTGGATTTTAAACGTGCTAGTTCACAAGGTAACAGTACGCAGGAAATATGTAACCTTACCCGGACACATTATTCTGACTCCGAGCTAACCAGTCTTTGCTCTTACTCCTTAATGGTGCGTGCTTAGCAGAGAAGCAGCAAATACCAATTTTAAAGTCTTTGGTTTGACCTGACTGGGGTTCGACCTATGATCTCCCACACTCGAGGCATACACGCTACCACGAGACCACCAAGGCGGTTTATGGATGAGAACATGATAAATTGATATGAAAATAAATCTGGATTTTACTACACTGACACGCTGAGTCAGATATTTAGCAAGGTAACATGCGCAGGAAGACATGTTACCTTACATGGACACATTATTCTGACTCTGAGCCAACCAGTCTTTGCTCTTACTCCTGAATGTCACATGCAAATACCAATTTTCAAGTCTTTGGTTTGACCCGGCCGAGGTTTGAAACCACATCCTCCTGCACTTGAGGCAAACATGCTAAGACCAGACCACCAAGGCCATCATAAAAAATTAGGCCAAAATAAAAAAAAAATACTTACGTTTAGGGTTTCCTTACCTACTTATTCACCCCCTCCTTTATCATGTTTATGTTTTAATTGGCTCTTCACAATGAAACATGACAAAATTGCAGATCATGGCAGATGGTCCCCATATTCTCATTTGAGAGGGTTATCCTACCAACCTACCTTTATTTTCCAAAAGAGGAAACCTAAAACACATGTACAAATCAGAAATCCAAGAATATCAGACCACATGTACACTATGGCAATAGGAGAAAAACTGCAGGAGCAACAAACAAATCTATAGGAGCAAAGTGAAAGATCTGATTTAATTCAGATTGATGCTATGGCCAATTTAATTTTTTTTAAAACAAGACTATGGTTCATACAATCTTATACTGTGTTACAGAAAAGTAACATATTTTTTGTACGGGATCAATATTAAAAAAATATATTATGGATATTGGATGAAAAAGTCAGTATATGCATGAAAATGTAAGGTACTTAGGGAGGTAGGAAACAAACTTTTTCAATTCAATTCAGGGTTTAATTTAAAGTCTATATTCAGTATACCCACTTTATAAACACAAGATCTAGTAAAATATTAATGGCAGGAAAATGCACATTTTTCCTGTGTTTAATATTGTCTTTATACATGTTATATCAGTTTTAGTTCAAGTCAAGGTAGATTTCTCAAAGTTTGTGAATGTTATTATTATGAGCAACTTCTAAGGTCCCATCATCAATTTTCGTAGAAAAAGAGCAACTGACTACTAGTAATTCTCTATTTGTGATATTTTAACAGGTATATTTTTTTCTGCCCCCGCCGTAGCCGAAGGGGCATTAAGTTTTACCCTTATCCGTCCATACCTATGTCCGTCCGTACGTCCCAAAATTGGTTTCCGTTCTCTAACTTTAGTTTGCCTCAAACAAATGTTATGAAACTTATACACAATGCTTATTGCTACAAAACACAGATCAAGTTTGAATTTTGGTGGCGTCACTTTTATCGTTCTAGAGTTATGCCCCCTTTACAAATGGAAAAATTGCTGAATTTTTCGTTTTCGTTCTGTAACTTTAGGTTGCCTTAACCAAATGTTATGAAACTTATACACAATGCTTATTACCATATAACACAGATCAAGTTTGAATTTTGGTGGTGTCATTTTTACTGTTCTAGAGTTATGCTCCTTTACAAATTGATAATTGCTGAATTTTGTTGTGTCCGTTCTCTGACTTAAGTTTGCCTCTACCAAATGTTATGAAACTTAAACACAATGCTTATTACCACAAAACTCAAATCAGGAACAAATTTGGGTAGCGTCACTTTTGCAGTTCTTGATTTATGTTCCTTTATAACGTTTTATGCAAGCGGGGGCATCTTCTGTGTCCCATGGACACATTCCCCATTTATTGTTAAGTACATTTACTTGAGATAAAAGGTTGAACACTAATTCATGTAATTAAAAAATAGTTAGCAAACCAGATAAAAATTTGAGGCACGCTTTAACCTCTCAAAATTTTAGAAGTTGTATGATTCATTTTTGGAAAAGCCTAAAGATGATATTCCGACCTTGAAAAGAAAATTTACAAGTAGTTATTACCATGATTACTAACATATTCAAGTGTATCATGTATATAAAAAGTTGATACCTCTAAGTACATGAAGTATTTATGTGTGAATATTTTTAAGAATTTAAACATCTGTAAAAATTTCAAGTTGTATTTACAGGGACGGTTGATAATATAATTATACATGTTTGATATAATATATATGTCTGTTTGCATATTTCATTTTCCTGTCAAGGATTATGAAAAAGCACAGTGTGTATTTGTTCATACACATACAGTATACACTTGTAAGGAGGTTCACTAAAAAATAACCCAGCAGTGACTGATAGCAGTTGTTGGTGATTTACAATGAAAATTTGTCTCTCGGTAAATATTTTTAGTTTAATAATAATTATATATTGCAGGTCAATGCAGGAACTTAAAATCAGAGTGTTATGTTTTTTATTCACCATTGATTTATTCAACAACAACACAAGCTATACTTGAAACATCTTGAACATACTTGTACAAAGACAGTATTTGAAATAAAAATATCACAGTTTTTTTTTTCATTGTAGGCAACTAAAGTGGAAGTGAAAGAGGTTGATTTTAATCCAGAATTCACAGCCAGAATGATTCCGAAAGTGGATTGGCCAGCTTTGTGTCAGGCAGCTCAGTCAGTAAGGATGTATAAGTTATATACACAAATGTAGTTAGACTATACAAAAGGGACACAACTCATAAATCAAAGAATATTTGAAAGAATTCTATTTTAATTTAAAGTTTGTTGTCTCTGAATAATTAATTAATTACTTGAAGATGTTTACTTTAATTGGGTAACTCAAGCAAATTGAGGTTGAGAATGAATTGAGCTTTTGTCAGTTGAAGCAATATTAAATCTGTGAATCAGGGGAAAAAAGTATAAGTAAAAAGTATAGGTAATGACAAAACTGATAATTATCAGCGCCTGGTGATGATTCATAGCCTGACCGGTTTCTGAAAACACCAGGCACTGATAATTATGTGTTTTTTCATTTCCTATATATTTGTCGTTATTCACCTCAAAAGCTAACCAAACCTTTAAACACTTATTTAGAAGGGATATAGTTACGATACTGTTGTCAGGTCATAAAAGATGGCATTTTTTGGAATTAATATTGATTCACTCATAGGGTCTTTGCATCAGAAATAAACACATTTATTCTAAAACCAGTTGTTGGCATGATATGGGTTATGTTCTTCTATATTTTATGATGGTATGATACGAAACCCCTAACGGGAGGGATTGTGCTTGATTTTCATATGATGAAAACATAATCTTTCAATCAGTTTAATTGAGGTCTGGAGCTGGCATGTCAGTAACCGCTAGTTGTCCTTTGTTAATTTATGTATCATTGTCATTTTACTTAGTTTCTTCTGTTACCTATTCTGACATTAGACTCAGACTTCTTTTAAACTGAGTTTTACTGTGTGTATTGCTGTGTGTTTGTTTATTTTACATTGGCTAGAGGTATACATGGTATAGAGGGGAGGTTTGAGAAACCACTGAACTACAGGCTCCTGACATGGGACAGGCACATAAAGGCAATGTTCACAATACAAATTGAGAGCAAATTCCACCCTTCAGTGCTTGAATTTTCTCCATTGAGTGTTGAACTAGGCATCTTGTAATCTATAGTTGATCAATGTCAGTTATGTTTAATGTTTTGTTTATGTTTTACATAAAGGTTGGCCATAGTGAAGGTTTACCAACAGAAATTGCTGACAGTTATGAATCTGATGAAGATTTTTTGAAAAAGGCACACCGAATTCTTATGGAGGTATGTATGCTACATAGGAAGATAAATTTACAACTTGGACAAGATACTTATATGATCATAGTTTGCACCCATTCAGTAAAGAGAGGAAGAAGTGATATTTATGGCTATGGGATATAACTCTACTTCCAAAATACCAAAGTGATATTCAAACTCAAAAGTCGAAAATAAACTGACAACGCCATGGAAAATAACCAAGACAAACAACAGCCTACAAAACGTAACATAGACAACTTAAGACTGAGCAACATGATCCCCACCAAAATCAAGGAAAGATATCAGATGCTTTTAAGCAACCTCTTCAGCAGTGACAGTTCTTTGATATTCTGATATCACTGTTAATGAACTACATAACATGTAAAACTAACCATAGGAGTTTATGAGATGTTCATCCTTTATAAATGTCCTTTGACTTATTCATATAACTTCATTATAACAAATCTTGAGATAAACTACTATTTTAAAATATATATTTTGGTTTTTGTGTTGTAGTGTAGATGTCTCATTGATATATATCTCACATTTCCTTTTATTTATGTCGTCAAAGGTTGTTTGAGCTATAAACACTGAGCACTGTTTTTGGTGAGACTTATAGTAGAAGATTGGTTTACGACAGCATTTACATCTGACAAATACTTCTTGAAATAATCGCCCCTCAACGTTTTAAAACACTATTCAGTCTGTCATATACATGTATGTTGAGGCATCTTTATTAACAGCAAAAATCCTATTATTTGATTAATGATGAGGGATTAAGTTGAGATGGATTTAATTGTATTTTTTCATTAATTCTGAATGATTTTATAGAACCTCACTTCACTTGTGATGGCTTTGTGATCCATTGCAGTAAATTTCAAACATAGGTTCTGAAGATATCAAATAAACTCCATATATTTTGTAGTAATTTATTCCATCTATACAAAAAGTTCCAGACAGTCAAGAATATCAACTGGATTTTCAGAGATCAATAGTGTTCAAAATAGATGATTTTAATATTGTAGACATTGTGTCTACATATAATGAACATGTGTAAAATCATATCCTGATTAATTTTTTTGTAGACCTGCATGCTTTAAATTTCCATAGAACTGAAATCTATAATAAACTTGAGATATATGGGAAATGATCCTATGATAGACCTAACATTGATTAGAAAGACATTAGTTGTCAGCCAAAGGCTATTGCGAATTTCCCACACTGACAAGAAAAGGGGGACATAAGTATTAAGAATGCAATCACACCCTTGAGCACATGTGATAATGTCTGCAAAAATAACATCTAATACAACACAAGATAAATTTATCTAACTTTTTGTTAACAGGTAGAAGTTGTAGAAGGAGATCTGATCTGTCCTGAGACAGGAAGGAAATTCCCAGTCAATAGAGGAATCCCAAACATGTTACTGAATGAGGACGAGGTGTGACAGGAGCTGTTTTTAACAATCTTGTGATAACATTTTTGTGTCATACATTTTATGACTTGATAAAACCACAACATTATTGTGACAATTCATCATGTGAAATGTAAAGTATCATTGGAAATAATTGTGAAAATGTATGAACACAATCTTCACATGTACTTGAAAGAGAAATATAGTAAAAACATTTCCTTTGTTGTAGAATGCTTGTTAATAAAGGTATTAGCCAAGTATTTTATTGAATACTTTAAACTTTGAACCTCCTTAAACAAAGTTTTACTGGGCGAGGTACTGTGGATTCATTTATTTTTGTTGGAACCAATTGTCGTTGATTCAGGAAAACATGTTTTTTCTGCGGATAATTGATTTCATGGTTTTACAAAAGTCTACATACATGCCTTTATAAAATTGGAAATTTGTTGAACATTTAAATTTGTGGTTCATCCACGGAAATTGGTATCCAATGAATACGAATGAGTCAACAGTAGACAGGAATCACCCCATCTGTCAGTCCATCCATGTGCCTTATAAGGGAACTACTCTTAAATATCTGATCAAATATTGATCAAAGTTGAAGCACACCAATATGTGACACTATCTGTGTCTATTACTACATGTAAAGGGGAGATGATCAAACCTACTTACTGCAACATTCCAAAATGTGGCAGTAGTCTCTTTAAACACAACTCCTTTTATGCAGAACATATATTGAAGAACATAACTTTATGAAGTTTATTGAATATCGACAATAAATAAAACTTTGAATTGAATTGAATTGAAACATAGCATTGTTGTAAAGGAATGAATATAATCCTTGGCTTATATATGTACATGTTAAGTGGAGATAATTTAACTTACTTTTTCAATATATGTTACAGTACAACTCCTGCTAAAAAGTTGTTCTGATATTAATGAAACTTACACAGTAGTAGAGCACTACCTGAGGTTGTTAAAAAAGGCAGAACATGATAAAGGGGAGATAATTCAACAAATACATATTTGAATAAACTGTCATGTGGTTTATTTTTGCAACGTTTAAATTTCACATTCATAATGTAGAACCTGTTTTTGAGAATATCTTTTATTATTGTCCTGTTCCTGTCCATAAATACAAATTAACGCAAAGGGAATATTTTCTTGATTTTGCCTTGATAGCAAAATTTAAAGAAAATTAACCCCCTCAGGAAAATTTCCCACTTAACAGAAAAGTAATATATGGTTTTGCTCATTAGGTTACCTTGAGTTGCTTTCATCCATATCATTCGGTCTCCAGTGAATATTTCTCATTGGCATTTAAACCAGATCTTACTTTTATATTAATAGTCACACCTTAACTACCAGACAGATATTGATGGATCTTTACACAGTTGTAGAACTCCCTCTGGATGTCCAGAAAGAATATAATCCTATTCCTATATGTTTAAGGAGAGATTATTAAAATAACTTTTTATTTCTATATATGGTAAGTCCCCCATTAAAGCTCAACTTATTACTTGATAGATGATGACATTTTACTCACACTTATGTATGTTAAAGTGCTATTCGGACATTCTAGTTTCTTACTCTGCAACTGGACCAAATTATTCCTTTATCTTAATATTGCTGGCCCAAATTTTTTTAGTATAATGTCATATCTCTACTTGTTATTTTCAAGTATAAAACATGAAGAAATAAATTGGAAGATGTATGAACAAAAAAATAATAAGCACTACCCTGTCCACACATACATTTAACACTATTTGTCATTGACAGCACACATGATATCAAAGGGCAATAACTGTGGTTGGCAACCAATTTGTTTGTTTTTCAGAATTTCTATAAACTTTACATTTCAATAGTTTGATTTGACTCAAGTCTTGACTTTCATGAAGTTGATATGATGCTTTTTTCACACATGCAATGTTGCTATATACATGTTATATGTGAATAAGGGATAAGTTTCTCATAAGATCTTGAATTTATCCCATGAATATTTTGTGAAAAGATTTTCAATTGTGTACTATACAAATCAAATGAAACAATTTTTTTTCAAATTTCACATGGTAAATATACGACTGATAAAAAATTGCTTGTGTAAATAATAACGTGTTCAATGTTACTTTATTTGATTGGTCATTTGTAATAATATGTTCTAGTCCTGCATCATGTGCATATCATTTATTTGAAAGGTTGAATTTGTGTTGAGGAGAAAACTGAAAAAAAAATATTCAACCATACGTGTGCCTAAGTTGTAATAAATTGTCTTGTCTTGTCTTGAGATGTTTTATCATGTTTATACACGATAAGCTTTGATATTTATTCATTGAAATTTTAATAAATATCAAATTCCAAACTATATATTCATGTTGTCACTTGTTTTGTTGTCTGTTTAGAAAATTGGTCTTTGGTCATGTTTGTTATTTCTGTTTGATATTTGTCCACACTTGAAGCAGTTTAAACCTAGTAATAGGGTGTTTACAACTACCTATTGTGTAGACAGTAGGTTGACATCTAAATGTTTTGTTGGGTTGATGATTCATTACTGTATGCCAAATGTCACTTTTTTATCTATATAGACAGCATACTGAAGTGTTTAAGTAGTTTATTGCACACTATTAATAGAATCTGGATGGACTACATTCAATATAGAGTAAAATATTTTATTTACAAACAAGTATACTCTGACAATACTACTTTTACAACAAAGTTAAATTAACAACTCTTTCCTATTTTAATATCTGTACATAACAAATTAAAAATAAAAAACGTGAATACAAAAATGTTTACAGTATTTTTAAACCAGATATTTATTGACAATCACAATTTTAAAATTTTCTTTTTCTTATGATATTTAAAATATGGTAAAAAATCTTTTGGATTTCCAAATTGAAATCTGAAGATGTAACTAAATACCTTTATTGATTGGTTGATTGGGATGTTTTAACACCCCCTTCAACACTCTTGACTATATTGTGGTGGTCAGATTTTATTGAGGGAGGAAAATGGCCCAGAGAGAACCAAATATTCAAAATATGGTAGTAAATCTTTTGGGTTTCAAAATTGAAAGGGGATTCACTTATTTAAGTTTTGATATTTCATGTTTGCAGAACACTGCTCTGGGAATCTCATTCATCTATAACTCATTGTTTCAAGGATCTAAATAACTTATTTAAAGTTACTTCAGATATATGTGTCATGTGCATAGAAATCCATGTCCAGATTTTTCATGCTGAAGGTCATTGGTTCTCACTGAGCACTACAATTTCCTCCGCCAATAAAATCTGGCCATCATAATATTGCAAAGAGTGCTGAAAGCGATGTTAAAACATCCAGATCAATATCAAGAATTTTAGAAATAGTGTAAAAGTTATTTCGTTACATCTTCAGATATAAAAAAAAGGTTTCAATAGAAGTTAAAATTACAAGCAAATATAATATAAATAATTAATAAAAAAAGGAACAACAATAAAAATCACTTCTTTTACGAAGTTGCATGACATATTTTTATAAATAACAAGCTGTACAAAAAATGCAGATATATTTTATTGTATGTGATATTTGTATTGTTAGAGCAAAATGACCTGTACTAGATAAAGATCAATGAATTTAAAAGAAAATTTTCAGATGTTTTAATATACCAGTACTAAATTGTACACAGAAAGTTGGACAACACCCCACTGGCCATCCCATAGCCAGTTGAATTGGTACGGGATGGCCAGTGGGGTGTTGTCCAATTTGGAAATGAACTGACATTTTATGATCAACTTTCATCATTTCTACAATATTACCACTAGAAACCTCCATGAGAACAACTACACAGACGTGTAAGAATAGCAGCTAACCACATCGTTAATAACTTTATTGACTAACTTTCACTTTTAACTTTACTAGATTTTTATTTTACTTTCACTTTCTATTTATATCTATAACGCTGTCATAACAACCTCTATTGTTACTTTACTTTTGGCGAACCACACAACAGCAAAATTTGTACTTCACAGTTTGATTTCATATGTAATTTTGTCCTGAAGACGCCACACTTGTTGGCGAAACATGTCAACCAAATAAACAGATACTTTGCGGTAAAAACTTGAGTGTTGTTGTCTTTATTGTCGACATATTTAATAGAAAGGGTTTAACAATCTCCTCTTTATTACTAATTTCTAATACTGTATAATAGTTTGACAGTCTCATTAATACTTGACTAATGTGTGAATGTTTGAATGTTAGTAAGACCTGAAAAGATTGCTATGTTTAAACACAACACACAGAGATTAATTTGTAAAATTAAATTGCAGTTACTAAAGGACGATTATCATTAAAGCTGTGATGCACAGCTTGAGGTCCACACACTAGTGATGGGTCCGGTCCAACAGCTCCTTGTGACCCCTGTACACGACTTCTATCTGGCCCTTCTCGTAGGTCTGGATTAGGGCCATATATATTCACATACTCTGTCCTGTTAAATGAAAGAAGAAAAAACACTGAAGTGTTGTACATTAAAGCTAGATTAAGTGAGCATAAATAAATGTTCTGTCCTATGATGTCAAATAAATCTTCATCTTTGTCTTGTAGAATGCAACTTTATTATATACAAGATAGGTCTATTGTATTTGATAACTATTATCTCAATATTCCAAAATGATGTTTTCCTTTCACCACTGGTAAAAAGAAACATTTTGTGATTTGGTGAAATAAGCTACATATATACTCTTTAATTAGTTCACAATCTACATACCAAGTAACATGTTTGAACACAATTTATTAATTCTGCCCTTTGAGTGGCAGTTTTCAAAGGGACTTGTATAGTCGTTTTTTCCTACACATTTATAAAACTTAGCTTTCATTGTGTATTTTGAATAAAATGCATGGAAATATAGATTACAGAGCTTATCTTATTGAAAACTAAAAATAGTCATAAAAATGCAGTCCCTCTTTTGCCTAATATTTATGACAGGAGTTTCTTTGTCTGGACCTGTCCTCACTGTAAGGTATGTACTATTAAACAGTAAGAAAAGAGGGACGAAAGATACCAGAGGGACAATCAAACTCATAGATCGAAAACAAACTTTGTTGCTTATGTTATTACAAATCCTGTAAATAGTCTAATTTCGGTAGGTCACATTCGTGAAAAGGGAAGGGTATTGTAGTTACAACATAAGGAACATATCCGATATCATCTGTGAAACAGTTATTCCATAACGGTCAACCAACTCGAGATGGCGTCCGTAAAATTTACGAAGGGATGATTTCAACTTCACCATTTGGAACTCTTGGTTTAATAGCTTCCTTGTGAGCAGCAATCCTCTATCAAGGAAATCATGATAGGAAATACAAGCCTGGGAATATCGTATTAATTGGGAGATATAAGAACCTGGACTGAATAGCTACATAATACAAGGTCAGTTCCTTGTCTCTATCTATCCTTATTGTTTGGTTTTGATCTATAACCTGTAAAGACTTTAAATAAAGGCTATAGAAGAGGGACGAAAGATACCAGAGGGCCAGTCAAACTCATAGATTGAAAACAAACTGACAACGCCATGGCCAAAAATAAAAAGTCAAACAGACAAATAATAGTACAGATGACACAACATAGAAAACTAAAGACTAAGCAACACGAACCCCACCAAAAACTGGGGGTGATCTCAGGTGCTCCGGAAGGGTAAGCAGATCCTGCTCCACATGTGGCACCCGTCGTGTTGCTTATGTTATTGCAAATCCGGTAAATAGTCTAATTTGGTAAGTCACATTCGTGAAAAGGGAAGGGTATTGTAGTTACGACATAAGGAACATATCCGATATCATCTGTGAAACGGTTATTCCATAACGGTCAACCAACTTGTGATGGCGTCCGTAAAATTAACAAAGGGATGATTTCAACTTCACCATTTGGAACTCTTGGTTTAATAGCTTCCTTGTGAGCAGCAATCCTCTATCAAGGAAATCATGATAGGAAACACAAGCCCGGGAATATCGTATCAATTGGGAGATATATACTCCATATGCAGGCGCTGCTGGAATGTTGCTACATAGAAATGGAAAGTTCACAATTGGGAAGCTGAAATCATCTCTTTTGTCATAAAGTTTTGTTTTCAACCGACCCTCATTGTCAATTTCTAGATGTAAGTCAAGATATGAGGCAGACTTAACTGTATCTGTAGTATCCTTTATCTCTAGTTCGATGGGATAGATTCGTTCAGCATAGTCACCAAATTTTGTATTATTTAGTGAGAGAACATCATCTATATAGCGGAACGTAGAGTTAAAGGATATTGCTAACTTCTTATCTTTCTTCCTAAGAAGTTCCTGTATAAAGTCAGCCTCATAATAATAAAAAAACAAGTCGGCAAGAAGAGGGGCACAATTGGTTCCCATTGGAATTCCTACAGTCTGTTGAAAAACATGTCCTTCAAACGTAACAAATATGTTGTCAATCAAGAAATCAAGCATCTTGATAATGTCAGTTTCAGAGAAATTTTTGTTTGAATCAGAGTGATTCTTTACAAAGTAGGATTTATCCCTCCCTAAGACAAGATACTTGTATCTACGTATGCCATTCTTTTTAATGAAACAAAGTAATACCAACTCTTTCAATTTGACTTTTAGTTTGGAATGGGGAATACTTGTGTAAAGTGTAGAAAAGTCAAATGTTTTAATACTATTAATTGCAAGATGAGAGAGTCTTAGATTGTATGTACTCTAAAAGATCTTTGGAATTTTTTAGTATCCACATCTGATTCACGCCACCTCTAGAATAGGCAGTTTCACAATAACTTTGGAGCCCGGCTTTGATTGCTGATAAAATAGATGTTAATAATTTAGAAAGAGGTTTCGTGGAGCACTTGGGAGACCCAGCAATATACCGTTGTTTGTAAGGACACTTATGTAGTTTAGGTATCCAATACAGTGATGGAAGATCCAGTTCTTCATCTTTGGTTGAAATTCCAAAGGAACATAGAACAGACCTATGATTATCCAGGATTTCCTCTTTGGTAAGTGTCGTGAGGGTATATGTTGAGTTTCCAAGTGAATTGTCAATACCTAATTCATTTATCAAGCAGTTTATGTAATGATATTTACACACAAAAACGATGTTGTTTGGGGCTTTATCTGCGGGGACAACAACATATTTGTCATGGAGGTAGATCAAGTGTTTTGCAACATTTGGGTCTTTAAAAATTGATGTAGCGTGGGTATTGATATGCCCATTTAGTTTCTTAATTCGGATTTGTATCACACCTCACAGCCTTAATCCATTCGGAAAGAGTATCCTCGTCTTCTTTCTCACGTTTAGCCCATTGCCTGGCATAATCCTCGACTGAATCCATCAGTATTTTGAAGTTGTATTTCCAATTGATGGATTTAGGCTCATGATATTTCAGACCTTTGGATAACAAATTTCGCAGGGAAGTGTTATTGACAATGTTGAGCTCTCCGGTAATAACGTGGCCAGCCTGATTATTTGTGAATTGGGAACTAGAACAGGTGCAATCAGGAGGTTTAGACTTGAAGTTGTCAATGTTGAGATCCTGCAAAACGTGTTTGTAATTGAAAATTTTAGTTGCAATTGGTTTGGTATAGGTATAAGAAATTATTGGTACAGACTGATCTTTAAAATAAGGAGGTATTTTCGACTGAACTAATTTATGATGAAGGATATTGCCTAAGTTGATGCCATCGAGACCTTTGTTAGCAAAGGAAAGTTTAAGAAAAGATCTTTTCTCTTTTTCATCTTTTCCAATGCGAACTGGTTTGAAAAGTCTGTGACTTCCAATATCCGAAATGATAGCTGTAAGTTTGTATTGGTTTGAATGAGGGTTTGTAACAGTGGTTTCCAAACATAAATTGAACAGAGAATGAAGTTTTGAAAGGGGTAATGAATACAGTTTCGTGCGAATGTGATGAATACCTAATGGCTTTTGTATAAATGGCAGCAAGTCATTAATAGAGACATCATGCAAAGTAGGTGATGTATAATGACGATGACCATGACTGCGTCTACGTCGAGGAGTAGAGTTGAAAATATTCATCACATTCACCGAGCTACAGGAAGGACTAGATAGAATACCTATACATGTACCATCAATTTTGTCATTGCAACCATATGGTGTTGCAGTTCCCAATTGTCGAATCCAGTAGTCCTCTTTTTGTCTACAGAGAGGCGTTGCAAGTTGAGGATTGTTAGTCTTGTGGTATATTTTTTCGATTATACGAACTGTCATAGAAATGATGGAATGATCAGGCTGATTAAAATGCTGGTACAGAATGTCGTTTGCATTGAGGTTGATATCTGATCTATGGCGGCACATATGTTTAATATGTACAATAGCAGTTCTTGGTCTGGACCTATGGGGGACCTTAACCTTTGTATAGTCTGGACTGAATAGCTACAGAATACTTACAGGAGCAGTTCTTGATCTGAAACCATGGGGACCTTAAAATCTATGTAAGACCTGGGATAAATAGCTACATCATACTTACAGGAGCAGTTCCTTGTCTCTATCCTCATTGTTTGGTTTTGACTTTTAACCAGTAAATACTTTAATTAATGGGTTAAGAATACTTACAAGAATACTTAAAGGAGCAGTTCTTGGTTTGGACCTATGGGGGACCTTAATCTATGCAAGACCTCGGATAAATAGCTACATCATACTCACAATAGCAGTTCCTTGTCTGGACCTTTCCTCAACTCTGGGTCTGGACCTTTAGCCAAGTTTGATCTGGGCTGATTTACTACAACATGGGTTGGACCAGTGCTGTCAACAGATAATACAATAACTATAATACAGTAGTAGCTTCATCAACTCTGATGCAGAAAAATGTTTTCCTGTCATCTGTATTCCCTAAGAAAGTTTAGTAGATGTGTACATTTATGAAGCAAACTTTGCGAGAGAACCAGGATTTCAAAATCAGTTCATATCTAAAAAGTATCTGATAGTTAACACGTTTGTATGCAAAATGTCATTAATGAATTCTCTTACCAGATAAAGCATTATCTATCTCTTTATGTTTGACAGCAATTCACACCATCTGACCTGAGTTCTTCAGATTTTTTTCTGGTTTACCCCATCTTCATTACTTGAATTTTTATATTTAAACCATTTGGTTTCTGTATCATTTTATAGTAGATACAGAATGAAATCAGATGAATGTAACCTGTAAATGTTATTTGACTTTGTGTCTTGTTTGTTAAAGTAATACCAAGTCCTGTACCAGATTCTTGAAACATTTGGATATTGGACCAATGGTACAGGTCATTGATGGTCTCCAGGAATCTTGGAACATTTGGATATTGGACCAATAGTATAGGTTATAGATGGTCTCAACAAATCTTGGAACATTTGGATATTGGACCAAAAGGACAGATCATAGATGGTCTCAACGAATCTTGGAACATTTGGATATTGGACCAATAGTACAGGTCATAGATGGTCTCAACGAATCTTGGAACATTTGGATATTGGACCAATAGTACAGGTCATAGATGGTCTCAACGAATCTTGGCACATTTGGATATTGGACCAATAGTACAGGTCATAGATGGTCTCAACGAATCTTGGAACATTTGGATATTGGACCAATAGATGGAGTCATCGCTTCTGACATGTTTAACAAAAGTTGTACAACATATGCAGGCATGCAATCTGATTAAAATACAGATCCTGTGTCCAAGCTTAACTTACAAGGATCTGAAAAAATGCTCTATTCTACTTTCTGTTTTAAAGACCTTTCGGGATCCTCAGATTTTGTTGGTTTAATACACACCAGGCTGAAATTTCATTAGCTGGTGAAATAGTTACCAGAACAGAAAGTAAGACGGAATTGACAGATCCTTGAAAGCAAATCTTAGACACAGGATCTGTAATTTAATCAGATTGGCAGGCATGTCATAGGGCACAATCTTCATGAAATTTGTTGAAAAGCAAACACCATTGTTGTGGAAGAAAAGACATAGGCAAATCAAATATCTTTAGAATACCTATAGTGCCACAAGAATTAAAACTAAATAGATAAATTATACACTGCATGACATGCATAAAAGGCAAAATAAAAAACAACAAGTACAAGCAAATGTATAGACCTGGAATCTCCTTGGTTGCCAGCAGACATTTTCAAACAACATTTAGTTGCTAGGTTACTTAACATCACACTTGTTGATGACAACAAATCTCCACTCAATCTTTAGTGTAGGCAATTAAAAAAAAAGAAAAACTTTATAAAAAAATTATTCACTCTTCTTTTGCATTGGACTGATTATTATTGACAAAATATCTGTGAAATATTTACTGCTGAATATAAAGAACCTGTACCTCATTGAGTGAAATATTTACTACTGAATATAAAGAACCTGTACCTCATTGAGTGAAATATTTACTGCTGAATATAAAGAAACCTGTACCTCATTGAGTGAAATATTTACTGCTGAATATAAAGAACCTGTACCTCATTGAGTGAAATATTTACTACTGAATATAAAGAACCTGTACCTCATTGAGTGAAATATTTACTGCTGAATATAAAGAAACCTGTACCTCATTGAGTGAAATATTTACTGCTGAATATAAAGAACCTGTACCTCATTGAGTGAAATATTTACTACTGAATATAAAGAACCTGTACCTCATTGAGTGAAATATTTACTGCTGAATATAAAGAACCTGTACCTCATTGAGTGAAATATTTACTACTGAATATAAAGAACCTGTACCTCATTGAGTGAAATATTTACTACCGAATATAAAAAACCTGTACCTCATTGAGTGAAATATTTACTGCTGAATATAAAGAAACCTGTACCTCATTGAGTGAAATATTTACTGCTGAATATAAAGAATCTGTACCTCATTGAGTGAAATATTTACTACTGAATATAAAGAACCTGTACCTCATTGAGTGAAATATTTACTACTGAATATGAAGAACCTGTACCTCATTGAGTGAAATATTTACTACTGAATATAAAGAACCTGTACCTCATTGAGTGAAATATTAACAACTGAATATAAAAGACCTGTACCTCATTGAGTGAAATATTTACTACTGAATATAAAGAATCCTGTACTCCACTCAATCTTTTATCCAATTGTTTGTCATTCAAATCTTTTTAAAAAATATTTTGTAAACAATAACATGAATTATCAAAGATGTAAAAACACTATACCATGTATACAGCCTTATGAAAAGAGTTTCAAGTTTTCACAAGCTGCAGTCCATCTCTTGGTTTGAAGAAAACTTGAAAACTAAACTATGGAATTAAAAATGTGTTTGTTTTCTGAACTTTGGCATTGTATAGTTTAAGTATTTGTATCAAATGGAAAATACAAAAGCAAAAGGGTTCAAATGGCTATGTACATTTTTGAAAAGATATGATTCTGAATATCTTACTGAGTAACATGTTTAGCTCTAGTTTGTTGAGTTCCATGTGGTTTTTTATCAGCTTGGATTCTTGCTGCATGGTGATCTATGGTTTCTTTCTTTGGTTGTGCTGGTTTTTTAGCTGTTGTCTTGGTTACTCCAGGAGATATTTTTGTACCTGTCTTTATTACCCCAAAAGGTATTGTTGTTGTTGTCTTGGTTACCTTGGTAGCTGATTTCTTAGGTGTACCAAAGGGAATAGTAGAAGAAGTTGATGAGCTGTAATACATATAGATAACTCTATCATGAAATCATGAGCTGTAATAAAGGAAGATAACTCTATCATTAAATCATGACATGTAAAATAATAAAGGAAGATATCTCTATCATTATATCATGAGCTGTAATAAAGGAAGATAACTCTATCCTTAAATCATGAGCTTTAATAAAGAAAGATAACTCTATCATAAAATAATGAGCTGAAATGAAGGAAGATAATTCTATCATTAAATCATGAGCTGAAAAAAGGGAGATAAGTCTTTCATTTAATCATTTTGTCCAAAATGTCTCTCAAAGTGATTTTTTTTATGAAAAGCTGCATGTTTTAAATATTAACATTGTGCATTTATAATGCTCAAAATGTTCAAAATTTTTTAACAAGAGCTTGTTTTTGTGTGGTCAAGACATCTATGATATACTAACATCATTTGTTTCAACAGAAACAGTCAAATGTATAAGATGAGAAGGAATTTCTCTGATTCAATGTGATTGCAGTTTTTTGCTACCACAGTGGATATAAAAATATAAGAGGGGACAAAAGTTAGATACAGTACTATTTTTTCTTCATTTTGTTTTTTGAACCAAAGACTTTCTACAGGTCTTAGAACACACAGTAAGTACAATTTCTTTATTCATCAACAAGGAGTTTTAGAAAAGTGTGTTATAAATCATGTCAAGCACTGACTACCAAGCTGATAATACTCTTGGGAACTAACTAGAAAGGTAGTTAAAAGCCAATTCCAACTAAAAATAAAATGCTCCGCAGGGCGCAGCTTGATACGACCGCAGAGGTCGAACCCTGAACAGTTGGGGCAAGTATGGACACAACATTCAAGCTTGATACAGCTTTGAGTTTGGATTGTGATTAAATATTTGACACAGCATAGGTTTCTGACACAGAATGAATGTGGTCTAAGAACTTAAAAATTTTAAATTGGACATTCACCTATTATGGTCCAATATCCAAAATCTAAATACATGGTTAGATTCAGCATATCAAAGAACCCCAAGAATTCAATTTTTGATGAAATCAAACAAAGTTTAATTTTGGACCCTTTTGACCTCAATGTGGACAAAGTTGATAACGGGGCCCAAACATCAAAAATCTAAATACATGGTTAGATTCAGCATATCAAAGAACCCCATATATTCAATTTTTGTTGAAATCAAACAAAGTTTAATTTTGGACACCGATTTGGACCAACTTGAAAACTGGGCCCATAATCAAAAATCTAAATACATGTTTAGATTCAGCATATCAAAGAACCCTAAGAATTCAATTTTTGTTAATTTTGGACCCTTTGGACCTTAATGTAGACCAATTTGAAAACGGAACCAAAAATTAAGAATCTAAATACACAGTTAGATTCGGCATATCATAGAACCCCAATAATTCAATTTTTGATAAATCAAACAAAGTTTAATTTTGGACCCTTTGGACCTCAATGTGGACCAATTTAAAAACGGGGCCCAAAATCTAAAAACTAAATACACGGTTAGATTCAGCATATTAAAGAACCCCAAGAATTCAACAATAAAACCCCATTGAAATTGGTCAAGAAATAAGCAATTTATACGAAGTATCTTCTTTTGCACAATACTGTGCAATTAAATGTTTCTTGCTATTGCGCAATACTGTACAATTGACAATTTCTTGCTATTGCGCAATATTGTGCTATTGGATATTTCTTGCTATTGCGCAATACTGTGCAATTGAAGATTTCTTGCAATTGCGCAATACTGTGCAATTGAAGATTTCTTGCTATTGCGCAATACTGTGCAATTGAAGATTTCTTGCTATTGTGCAATACTGTGCAATTGAAAATTTCTTGCTATTGCACAATACTTATTATATAATAATTTACACATCCTGTTTGGTGTGTATCTCCTACCATATCATTATAATTTGCTTTTAAATATAAATCAGAAATAACCAACTTAAAATGGAAAATTTAAAAGAAAAAAAAAAAGGAAAAAAAGAAAAAAAAATTCGTAAGGGTTCCGCGGAACCCAGTGTCTCGCCTACTTTTGCTGTTAATCGCAGGCTCAACAAAAATGAGGAAAAAAATAAATAAAAATATTCCTCTCTATACTATCTTTTGATTGTTAGTAGCTTCTGTCCAAGTTTGGTAAAAATCCAGGATAGTTTATGAATCTAATAAATGTTTTAAAAACTTAAACTGCAGACTGTATGTAATGTTAACTGGAAGAAAAACAAAGTCCATTTATAAGTAAAATACGGAAAAAATCAAACAAAATTTTAACAAAATTTCCTTCTAGATACTAGCTTTTAATCATAAACAAGCTTCTGTCCAAGTTTGGTACAAATCCAGGATAGTTTAAGAAAGTTGTTAAAATTTTAAAAACTTTAACCACTGAGTGAATGTAATGTTAACTGGCAGAAAAACTAAGTCCATTTATAAGTAAAATACGGAAAAAATGGATTTTTTTTTTTACAAAATTTACTTCTGGATACTATCTTATGATCATAAACAACCTTCTTTCCATGTTTGGTAGAAATCCAGGATAGTTTAAGAAAGTTATTAAAATTTCAAAAACTTCAACCACAGAGTGAATGTAATGTTTCTTGGCAGAAAAACTAAGTCCATTTATAAGTAAAATACGGAAAAAATGGATTTTTTTTTTACACAATTTACTTCTGGATACTATCTTATGATCATAAACAAGCTTCTTTCCAAGTTTGGTAGAAATCCAGGATAGTTTAAGAAAGTTATTAAAATTTCAAAAACTTTAACCACAGAGTGAATGTAATGTTTCTTGGCAGAAAAACTAAGTCCATTTATAAGTAAAATACGGAAAAAAATGGAATTTTTTTTTTACAAAATTTACTTTTGAATATTATCTTATGATCATAAACAAGCTTCTGTCAAAGTTTGGTAGAAATCCAGGATAGTTTAAGAAAGTTATTAAAATTTCAAAAACTTTAACCACAGAGTGAATATTTGTGGACGCCGCCGACGACGACGCCGACGGAATGTAGGATCGCTATGTCTCGCTTTTTCGACAAAAGTCGAAGGCTCGACAAAAAGGAAACCCCCCCCCCCCCAAATTTTTTGAACCCCCTTATAATTCATCACCCCCAAACTCAATCCCAGCCTTCCCTTTGTAGTATGGTACCTTGCAGTACAATTTCAGAGAGATCCACACACTTGAACACAAGTTATTGTCTGGAAACTAGAAAAATGTGTTTTTTGGCCCCTTTTTGGCCCCAAATTCCTAAACGTTTAGGGCAATTACCCCCAACCTCAAACCCAGCTTTCCCTTTGTGATATGGAACCTTTTAGTACAATTTCATAAAGATCCATACACTTACACACAAGTTATTGACCTGAAACTAGAAAAATGCTAATTTTTTGCCCCTTTTTGGCCCCTAATTCCTAAAATATTGAGGCAATTACCCCCATCATCAATCCCAGCCTTCCTTTGTGGTGTGGTACCTTGCAGTACAATTTCAGAGAGATCCATACACTTGAACACAAGTTATTGTCTGGAAACTAGAAAAATGCTTATTTTTGGCCCCTTTTTGGCCCCCAATTCCTAAACGTTTCAGCAATTACCCCCAAACTCAATTCCAGCTTTCCCTTTGTGATATGGAACCTTGTAGTACAATTATAGAAAGATCCATACACTTACACACAAGTTATTGTCATGAAACTAGAAAAATGCTTGTTTTTTGCCCCTTTTTTGGCCCCTAATTCCTAAAATTTTGAGGCAATTACCCCCAAAATCAATCCCAGCATTCCTTTTGTGATATGGAACCTTGTGGTACAATGTCAGAGAGATCCATACACTAACACACAAGATATGTCTGGAAGTTACTAAAATACTTATTTTTGGCCCCTTTTTGGCCCCTAATTCCTTCACTGTTGGTACCATAACCCCCAAAATCAATCCCAACCTTCCTTTTGTGGTATTGAACCTTGTGGTAAAATTTCATTGGATCCATTCACTTAAACTAAAGTTAGAGTGTGAAAACCAATGTGTCTTCGGACGACGACGACGGCGACGCCAACGTCATACCAATATACGACCACAAAAATTTTTTTGCGGTCGTATAAAAAGGGACAACAATATCAATCAGTACACATCCTATGGATTTAGTGAATAGACCTCGTAAACAGTCTGAGAAAAGCATAGCTATATATATAGTTTATACATCCTTATGCATAAGCTGGTTCCTGACTGACTTATACACTATTTTCATTCCATTTAAATACAAGTGGTTTCCATTTTATATTACGCAATGAGGTGAATAAAATGAGAAATTTGTAATGAAGCATTTAATTTTGAAATTTTGAAATTTGAAAAATATTCAATAACAAAGATGGCAGAACGTAAACAAAACACCTTGCGAAATAGAGTTTTTCTCTTATTTCTTGCTTATGGTACTCTATAATCTGCACCCTGCCTGGCAGCTATAATTTTGGAGAATAAAACCGCAGACTATACAAACTTGAATTCGGTGATTTTTTTTTTCAATGCTCTGCAAAATAGATGTGTTCTTTCTATGTAACTTCATCAGGCCTTTTTTTGTGACGTCAGAATAAGACAATTCAGAGGAAAGCAAGAAAATTTGACATCACAATTGAACTTTAACCAATGAAGAACTGAGATCATCGAACCACATGTTGATTAAATGAAAATAATCAAAAGGTAAGGAAAAGGATAAATTGTTTAAGAATTAGAGAAATATATATAGTTACCTTGGTCTGTCATCATAGTCATGTCCAAAAACAACTGGTTCCATGCCTCCTGAAAAAGATTCAGGTACCAGAGATCCTGTTGGTTTAAAAGATAAATCATCATTCACAGTAGCTCTGCCTCCTAAAAAAGACATAATATATTATTAGTTCTAATAAAATTGAGAATGGAAACGGGGAATGTGTCAAAGAGACAACAACCCGACCATAGAGCAGACAACAGCCGAAGGCCACCAATGGGTCTTCAATGCAGCGGGAAACTCCCGCACCTGGAGGCGTCCTTCAGCTGGCCCCTAAATAAATATGTATACTAGTTCAGTGATAATGGACGTCATACTAAACTCCAAATTATACACAAGAAACTAAAATTAAAAATGATAAGCCAAGTTGATGTTCATTTACTCCAAATGACACAGTAAATTAATTATTTAGTTTAGTGTAAACTACTCTCCGTACGCTACACAAGTGATTTTTTGGAGTCAAATGAAATGTTGTACTGTTTATTGTTATGTGATAAGAATTTGTCACTTATAAGTCAAGGGTTAGTGGTTTTAACTTGACATTTTGGTTTCTTTTATCAATGAAAAAAATCATGAAGTTATACAAATGTATGGAAAGTCGTGTTTTCTCCAAAAAACAAATAAATCCAAAAATAAGGATTTCAACTTTTCTCCTTCAACATTTCCAATTTAACCTTTAACCTATAATCATTGTTTGAAGAATTTAAATAATTCAATTTTTTAAAACAGTATAAACTCATCAGGATTACATTATTTCATAAACTCTTAGTCCAGTTTAATTTCAACTAGACTACCAGAAATAAAAGAGATTCATTTTTAAAACCAGTTTGAATCTTTTTAGACAAAAATAGAGGATTTCAACACATTATCCATAACTACTAGTCATTCTGTTAGGGTGGTAATATTGTTGTATGGATATCAGAAAAAAATATCCTCTTATCTTCTCTGATATATTTTCAAAACTTAATATTATTTTGCAATTCTATGATTTTGCTTTTAATTAAATGATATAACATGATATTGAATAATTTGATTAATGTAATGAGTTTCTCAATAAGTGAAAAATAGCATCTGTATTTGCCTGTCTCAAGCCAAGAACATGTAGACGTTGGTTGTTGTTTGTCATTCAGTCAGGATTCTACTTCGTCAAAATTATCTCCCCATTACCCCAGCTAATTTTTACAATCGTAACAATGGAAGCCATTGTAGGGATGACGCGCTGCTAATTTAGCTCATAAAAACTGATAAATTTATCATCATAGCACCTTTACGATCCTTATATGCCAGTTGTATTTTAAAAGACAAATGTATCTACTAGCTACTGAGCATCATTTAATGTACATTTCTGCAATTAGTCAACTTAAAACTATTGTCTGATCGGTTGTCAGGTGGAATTTTCGAAAGTTCAAAAACATTTAAAAAAATTCTAATTAAATATTTAGTGGAAGGGCAGACTAATTAAATATTTGACATATTATAGGTTTCTGAATAAATGTAGTCAAAGAACTTGAAATTGGTTAAATGAATTGAATTTATCTTCAATTAAAGATTTCTTGCTGCTGTGCAATACTTAGTAAATCTGTTGTCAGACTATAAACAAATAAAGTTCAATTAATTCTCAATGTCATATTAGAAATTTATGAAAATAAAAAGGGAGCTTACATCAATAGATATAAACAATTCACCAACGTTTTATGAGAATTGGTGACAGCATTTTTGAGTTATTGTCCGAAAACTGGAAAATCACCCCTTTTTTTAATGAATAAAACCCCATAACTCAGAAATGTATAATGTAAAATTTATAAAATTCTAAAGGGAGCTTACATCAATACATGCAAACAATTCACCAAAGTTTCATAAGAATTGCTGAAAGCATTTTTGAGTTTTTGTCCCAAAACTGGAAAATCCCCCCTTTTTTTATGAATAAAAACCCTGTAACTGGGAAACGTAAAATCTAAAATTTATAAAAATCAAAAGGGAGCTCATGTCAATAGATACAATTCACCACAATTTCTTGCAAGTTGGTGAAAGCATTCTTGACTTATTGTCCGAAAACTGGAAAATCCCCCTTTTTTTAATGAATAAAACCCCATAACTCGGAAATGTCAAATCTAAATTTTATAAAAAACGAAAGGGAGCTCCTGTCAATAGATATAAACAATTCACCAAAGTTTTATGCAAATTGGTTAAAGCATTTTTGAGTTAATGTCCGACATGTTGATGACGGAGAGACCGACGGACGGACAGAGGTATACCATAATATGTCCCGTAAACAGGCGTATAAAAATGAAGTTTTTTTGAAGTTATGCATTTTTAAGATCCACTTCTTAAGTCTATCGTCAAGTACTTTTAGTAAAAAAGAATTATTCGAACACACCTACTCTGTTATTATGACTCATTAGAAAGGTATTTTACTTGACCCACATATTTCATTTTTTAGTACTGTGAATTTTCAATGTTATCAAATCAACCTGTAGCCTCAATATATAAAAATGATAGAATCTGAAGCGAGATAATGTATCAAATATTTTTGCTTTATATGTACAGAATAGTCAAACTCAAACACGCCCGAATATAAAAAGGTGCACTCGACTTTCTCTTTTCGATGAAATTATTGCCCATTTTTAGGATCTTTTCCCAAAATAACTTTCGCCGGGGGCAGAGATGCAAATAAATGCTTTAAAAATAAATGGGGAATGTGTCCCATGGACACAGATGATGCCCCGCTTACATATAATATAAACTTATAAAGGGACATAACTGAAGAACGGTAAAAGGGACGCTACCCAAATTTGTACTTGATCTCAGTTTTGTGGTAATAAGTATTGTCTATAAGTCTCATAACATTTGGTTCAGGCTAACTTAAGTTAGAGAACAGAAAAGAAAAATTCAGCAATTTTCCATTTGTAAACAGGCATAACTCTAGAACAGTAAAAGTGACACCACCAAAATTCAAACTTGATCTGTATTTTGTGTTAATAAGCATTGTGTATAAGTTTCATAACATTTAGTTGAGGCAAACTAAAGTAAGAGAACGGAAACGAAAAATTCAGCAATTTTTATGTTTATAAAGGGGCATAACTCAAGAACGGTATAAGTGACGCCACCCAACTTCAAACTTGATCTGTATTATGTGGTGATAAGCATTGTATATAAGTTTCATAAAATTTGTTTGAGGCAAACTAAAGTTAGAAAACGGAAACAAAAAATTATGCAATTTTTATGTTTATAAAGGGGCATAACTCAAGAACGGTAAAAGTGACGCCACCCAATTTCGAACTTGATCTGTATTATGTGGTAATAAGCATTGTATAAAAGTTTCATAACATTTGGTTGAGGCAAACGAAAGTTAAAGAGTGGAAACAAAAAATTCAGCAATTTTTCCATTTGTAAAGGGGCATAACTCTAGAACAGTTATAGTGAAGCCACCAAAATTCAAACTTGATCTGTGTTTTGCGGTAATAAGCATTGTGTAAAAGTTTCATAGCATTTCATTTGGTTGAGGCAAACTAAAGTTAGAGAATGGAAACCAACTTTGGGAAGTACGGATGGACATACGTATACAGACGGACAAGGGTAAAACTTAATGCCCCCTCCGCTATGGCGGGGGCATAAAAATCAATCTATTATCTTTCTGTGGATTTTTTTTTTTAGCAAAATTTATATATGCAGAAAATAGATCCACTTGTATTTGCACCTACCACATTCGACTGTTTTATGAAAATTTGTCTATAATTTAAAAGTTTACAAATATCTGGAAGCTCCATACTATAATCTAAGTAAAAACACGTAAATAATATGCATAAAATCCTAAATTATGCACCTTTATTAAACTTTTAAAGCCCATAGAAACAGATGTAAACAATTCAAATATAAGAACTTGGCCTTTTTTACAGTCTCTAACAAACGGTTCCATTTCTTTTGTTTAATTTCAACTGGGTATCCGCCTGATAATTCTATTTTATATAAATATATTATTAGCTTGCTTGACATTTTCTTATCACAGGGTCTTTTGTAGTTTTAATATTCTACAGTATGGGTTTTGTCCATGGTTGAAGGCTGTTATTGTTTACATTCTGGTTCTTTTGTCTTTGGCAGATAGTTTTCGCATTGGCAATTATACCACATTACCTTATTTCTATATTTGAAAACTAAATGTGTGAATCAGTACCTTAGGCTTGTTCAGGTTAATCTTAAGTTAATGAATTGAGCCAAAAACTTTGTATGGTTAACAAATTTGGTCAGTTTCAATGAGATGCATTATCTTTAAAATTGTGTCCAAACATCCAGCTGACCTGAGAACGTGTTTCCTAAATCTTACAAAACCCCTCCACTCCTTAACTTATCTTTTGTTTGTTTGTTTATTTATACTATTTAATTTTTGTTTGGTCATCATGGTCATGTGTATGAAATCATACAACATTATCTTAATTGTTCTTACTTTTAGCTGCTGATGAACTCTTTGCTCCAGAACTGAAAACATATCAATAAATCTGATTTAATTAAATACACAAGATACATAGGTAAAATACTTGTAATTATTTTTATTGTGCATACTCTCTTGTGCCTTTTGTTAACAAAACAAAATCAAATGTGCTAACAATAGGAATGAAAAGAACTGTTCCTTTGGTTTTGTGTAAATAGTAAATGTAGTGTGTGTAGTGCTTCTATGTAGTACTAGTATGTGTAGTATACATGTAGTGTGTGTAGGGATTTTGTGTCAAGAAGTAAAACTACATATCTATACTTTTCATTTCATGCTGAAGTAAAATTCCCTCAGATTAGAAAATGGTATTCTAATCAATTTTGACAATTTTGTGTATAATTATCTAGATGATAATCTGCATCTGATTTATTTTAAAAATTTAGAATTACATCTGAAAAGTTAAAATATGTAGAAATCCATATAAGACGATTTTCTCATGGTTAAGAGTGTTGAGAAATTGATTCTATAGGTCTGATCACTAGTTCTATCATTGTAATTTATCAACTTTTGGAGTCATTCAGGCAATTAAAAAAAACTTGTGGTATGGATTTTGCTCTTTGTTGAAGGCTGTACAGTGACCTATAGTTGTTAACTTTCATGTCATTTGGTCTCTGGTGGAGAGTTGTCTCATTGGCAATCATACCACATCTTCTTATTTTTATATTTAGAGTATAAATTCATTCAGCCAAGATACAGAAAACCTACGGTATACATTTATTCAGGCAAGACATATAAAAATACAGTTAATATTTGGTTGTTCAAAAGATGAGAAAATGGCATTGTTGACTCATAAAGTTATAATGTTGTGTGTTACATTTAACTAGTGATCATTCACAAACATGCCAATAATCATATGTTGAAATGATACGCCAGGTGGTCATTCTTAGGTTAATAACTCATGTCTATTGTCAAATCTATGCTATCTATTTCTAAAATGTCTCTCACTTGCTTTCCTGATCATGTTTGAATTTATGTTGAAAGACTGAACTATATTAAAGATACAGATTTTATTACAAGTCACAATTTAAGCGACTTAAATGACAGAAAATTGACTGAACAGATTTAAATGACTGTCAAACACTTCTATGATCCCTAGTTATTTTTTGTTTAAAGAAACAATCATTTTCAATAGCTTATATTCTTAATAAGACTGAATGTTAAGATAAATGATATTGACATTATAAAACTCATTTTCCTATATAGAGGTTAACATTTATACCCTGATTGTTTATAAACTTCCACCATTCTCTTGAAATTAGCTTCATTATAATGTACTGACTCTAATGCCATTTTAATAAAACTCTCCTCCATATCATGAAATTCTGCCTTCATCTTCTCAAAAGCTGAAAATTTATAATAAAAAAATTATATTAAAAAAATCTATCTATTCAGCCAAACTCTACAAAAATCATTATCAAATTGGACTTTACAGTTTTCGTTAAATAACTGATGTTTAAAGTATATATAAATTCAAAAGATGCAATACATATATAGTGTACATCAGACAAAGTGAGATAACTTGAAATCTTTCTTTTATCCTACTATCTACCTTTCTTCCATACAATGACAGGTTGACATATAACATGAAGTGATTACTGTTTATGTCACAGTTCAATTTGGGGCCCTCAATGCGTTTAAGTCATTTTTATTTCACTAATAAACAAATTCAATGATTATCATGGGAAACAACTATACATTTAAGCTCAATGTTAATTGCAAGATAAAAACAATATTCACACAGTGTTATTATATTGCATCCATAAAGTTGCAAGCATACGATATAAAGAGATTTGAAACTGGTTTGTCTATGGAAAACAATAATGCTAAGAAATATACAAGTTTGTATGCTTTTATTTCTATTCGTCAGTAGGCTATTTTCATTCAATAGCAACCAGACATAATCCAAATTTTGAAGTTACTTCATCTTTGTATGCACAGAGATATGTATTTATTCCTGGTGACATATATCTTGAACCATTGGTTACCATGGTTACATTTAAATATGTAGAGATTTGCTTTTAAAGTCTTTAACCTCTACTACTGATTGCTGTAACCTACATTTTTATTTGTTTACATGCATGTTTCGTACTTTCAATGGTCAAAGGTTACACTGATGATTCCACTCTGTATACCGTAAATTCATAAATTAATGCATGCATTTATTTTTGAGAATCACTGCTATGTGGTAAAAATGTGAGATTTAATTAATGGGATTGCAAAAATTTTGTGGAGGAAAATCACTTCTGAAATTATAAATGCAAGTTTTTATTATTGCTATCTTGATTTTGTCTCATTTTCACATTAACAAAAACATCACAATAGTTTCTGAATTTACAGTATGAATACATGTATAACATTCATTCTTCTACTAAAAGTTGGAATTTTGATAAAGACATTTCGAACAAGAGAACTATAAAGTATTCAAATGTATATAAAGAATACAACTGTGTATTGCATTAGAACGAATAAATACATGAGTAAACATTGAAATACTATTTGAACAAGAAACTTGTTGATGTTTGTTTATAACATGATACATTAATACAATATAAAAAATAATTCACCACTAGTAAAAGATTGTGACAAAATATAGGAAACACAATTTTTCCTGTTTTTAAATTTCTATGTTCTTGTAAATAAAGTTACATAAATCGAAATGATATATTTAATTTAAAATGAATAGTCATGCATATAACATGTATAAGCTGTATTTTCTATTTCAATTTTGCTAAATTAAGTAAAAACTTTATTTCCATTATTTGAGATTAAGGACAGCAGCCTTAAAACTTATACCCATACTATCTTTATCAAAGACCAAAATACTAAAATAAAACAGTTTCATATATAACTGTATTTCTCTAGTTTCTTATTTTATTTCTGAAGTGGTAGAATCAGCAGGATCAGGGTTATTTTGTTGAAACTGTTTCAAATATGAAAAATTCTTCTCAAATACAATACAAAGAAAAAACCGTACAAAATTCACATTAACCGAACCTTATACAATTTCTGTTTATAAAGTAGACACATGACTTAATAAGAAACAAGTTTTAGAAAATGATGTAAAGAGAGATAGTTGCTTATACTGACATCATTTGGACTCAGTTGGTGGATAGTTTATTTCTGGTTGGCAATCATAACACATCTACTCATTTCTATATTCCCTTGACTTTTTAGAAAGCACGATTGATTCATGCAACAGTTATTAATGAAATTAATATGTATATATGCCTACATATTTTGAAAATAGAATCTACCACTGAACATTAAAGACAATTATATTTTCAAAATTTGAAACATGAGCTATTTGAATTGAAGTTTAACTGTCTATAGTGAATAAATGTCATATTACATTTTAGTAGAAGCAGTATCTGTTTCTCTATTAACCTTTAAAAGATATATATATACTGACAATCCTTTTTCGTGATCTACAAAACAATTATTCTGTCTTTGTGAATTTTCAATTTTGTATTAATAGCAATAACAAGGATTTAATGCTTTTAAAGAATTTTAATGTCAAAATTTAATTTGGACAATGAAAAACTGAAAACATGGAAACCACATAATAAAAATAAAAACAGTACACAACTTGTCATGTTATCTTTAAATCTGCTGAGAATTACACAACAAACTATGTATCACAGATTGATTTGATTTTGATTTTTGGTGTTTTAACGCCACTTTTAAGCACCGCTTTTGGGCTATTTCGTGGCAGCCAGTTTATTTGGTGGAGGAAGCCGGCGTGCCCGGAGAAAATCACTAACCTTCGATAGGAAAACTGACAATCCTAGTCAATTAAGATTGGAGTCGAGTGCACCCTCACGAGCAGGGTTCGTACTCACAACCTCAGTGTTGACTGGCTAGTGATTACAGTAGTACCTACATAAAAAACAGACATAAATACATGTATTACACTGCTATCATACCTCGTCTTTTTTCTGCGTCTGATATTTTAGGTGGTGTTGGTGATGGTGATCGAGACTTAGGTTTAGATTTATGGGATACTGAAGTAGATGTTGTATGGGAACCTATAGGTTTATATCCCATACTCTCAATCTGGGTCCTGGCTGTTGATTCATTATTGTTACACCTGGAATAAAACCATGTAAAATTGTTTATTGTGCGGTATTAGGACAAACCATTTTTGATATGTTGACAGCCTTTTTCTAATTTAACCGTCATCTGTAATGCTTAAAGCCAAATATTTGAAATTTATTATGAGGCATATATGATAAGTTTTGAGTACTGGTAATGGCGATAATACATGTATTCAGAACAGTTACAGACAAAAACAAGGAATAATGTGTCAAAAGATGGACAAAGATACATATATACAGTACTACATGATCCATTGATGTAGCTTACATACTTAAAAATAAACAAACACAATCAGAAAACATTACAGAAGTAAATAAAACATAGTTCAAACTTAAAAATATGTTTCATGTGTTTGTTTGCTCTTTTTCCACCCATTATTTTCTATATATGGGTGGATTGGTTGGGAAATTTTATTGTACCATGTCTTTTTGTATGAAAACTTTGACTGGAACTTCATTTGCCAGATGACGACACATTTCTTAAGATCAAGGTGTTCTGATTGAAAAACAAATTTTTACACTGAAGGGTACCAGAGTACATTACATTTTAAATCTTAGGAAAAATAGGCTTCCCCTACAGAGCAATTTTAGTTATTCTTACACAGCAACTATACCCCTAATTATGTCATAACAGACAAGTTCAGTTATTCTTACATAGCATCTTTATCCCTAATTATGTCATAACAGACAAGTTTAGTTATTCTTACACAGCAACTATACCCCTAATTATGTCATAACAGACAAGTTAAGTTATTGTTACACAGCATCTTTATCCCTAATTATGTCATAACAGACAAGTTAAGTTATTCTTACATAGCAACTATACCCCTAATTATGTCATAACAGACAAGTTTAGCTATTCTTACACAGCAACTATACTCCTAATTATGTCATAACAGGCAAGTTTAGCTATTCTTACCCAGCAACTATACCCCTAATTATGTCATAACAGGCAAGTTTAGCTATTCTTACCCGGCAACTATACCCCTAATTATGTCATAACAGGCAAGTTTAGCTATTCTTACCCAGCAACTATACCCCTAATAATTTCATAACAGGCAAGTTTAGCTATTCTTACCCAGCAACTATATCCCTTATGATGTCAAAACGGGCAAGTGGGTAAACTTTTTGTAACTTCTTTACAATATTATCCATCTGTAGTTGTCCAGCAGATGAATGGTCAGTTTCTCTTTTGGCCTTATGTCCACTTTTAACCAAATGTGCTCTTGCTTCCTGAACATTGTTATTTTTCCTAAAAGAAGATAAATATATGTAAATTTAATGATTACTTTCTATATAAATACTCAAGAACTTTAGATCTAAATGTCAGCTTGATTTCACTCTTTATGATTATCATTTGATATTCATTGTCTACTTTAATGAATTATTAACATTTTAAATATATTTAATGATGTTATTCGAACAACAGATTAAAAAAAATTATTTTCAGACATTATTGATTTCATAACTGATCCCATGTACCATTGTTCACAATTTATATGTCTTTATTCAAAAAATAAAAATTTGCAAGTAAAATTCAGTTCATTTAAACATATATACATATATAGATTCTACCCCTGCATCGAGTGTGGTACAATATTTCTCCACTTCAGTTAAATTAGTCCTAAATTTTTGATATGATGTTACAAATTACAAAGTGAGAACATTTAAATCAAATGAAATGACTATGAAGAAATATGGGTGTTACGTGTTGAAGGCCGTACTTTGACCTATAATTGTTAACTTTTTATACATTGTGACTTGGATGGAGAGTTGTCTCATTGGCACTCATACCACATCTTCTTATTTATATTAATTCATAATACAACAATTCCTAAATGCACTTTACAAAACCTGAAGCAAATAAACAGTGCTTTTATTTGTGTTCTTACACTCACAATGTATACATGTACAATGATTTATCTCAAGCACAGAACAAAAGCTAACACCTCAATGCAAGTTCAAGACAACCCAAAGCTCTGGTCTGAATGGAATTCAAAATATTTAGTGAACTCAATGATATGATTTTGTATACATACATCTTAAGAACAACTCTGAGAGTGTCGTCAGCAATTTCAGGAAAAGTTTCTTTAAGCATGTTAAATTTGACATCCTGATGATCAAGGAATGTCTGCTCCTGTAAGTATATATGTTCATGTTAAATTTGACATCCTGATGTTTAAGGAATGTCTGCTCCTGTAAGTATATATGTTCATGTTAAATTTGACATCCTGATGTTTAAGGAATGTCTGCTCCTGTAAGTATATATGTTCATATTAAGTTTGACATCCTGATGATCAAGGAATGTCTGCTCTTGTAAGTATATATGTTCATATTCAATTAAAATTGCATAACTACTACTCAATATTTTTCACAAAGAATCACACTGATCATAAAAATGTCAATCAAATAGATGATGCATATTTATATTTGAATGGGTTCTAGACTTGTCAGTATAGTGACTTGAATGGGTTCTAGACTTGTCAGTATAGTGACTTGAATGGGTTCTAGACTTGTCAGTATAGTGACTTGAATGGGTTTTAGACTTGTCGGTAAAGTGACTTGAATGGGTTCTAGACTTGTCAGTATAGTGACTTGAATGGGTTCTAGACTTGTCAGTATAGTGACTTGAATGGGTTTTTGTCTTGTCAGTATAGTAAATATGAATGGGTTCTAGACTTGCCAGTATAGTAAATATGAATGGGTTCTAGACTTGTCAGTATATTAAAATATGAATGGGTTCTAGACTTGTCAGTATAGTAAATATGAATGGGTTCTAGATTTGTCAGTATAGTAAATATGAATGGGTTCTAGACTTGTCAGTATAGTAAATAGAAGGTCATTGATTGGGTTCTAGACTTGTCAGTATAGTAAATAGAAAGTCATTCAATGAGTTCTAGACTTGTCAGTATAGGGACTTGAATGGGTTCTAGACTTGTTAGTACAGTGACTTGAATTGGTTCTAGACTTGTCAGTATAGTGACTTGAATGGGTTCTAGACTTGTTAGTACAGTGACTTGAATTGGTTCTAGACTTGTCAGTATTAGGACTTGAATAGGTTTTTGTCTTGTCAGTATAGTAAATATGAATGGGTTCTAGACTTGTCAGTATAGTAAATATGAATGGGTTCTAGACTTGTCAGTATAGTAAATATGAATGGGTTCTAGACTTGTCAGTATATAAAATATGAATGGGTTCTAGACTTGTCAGTATAGTAAATATGAATGGGTTCTAGATTTGCCAGTATAGTAAATATGAATGGGTTCTAGACTTGTCAGTATAGTAAATAGAAGGTCATTGATTGGGTTCTAGACTTGTCAGTATAGTAAATAGAAAGTCATTCAATGGGTTCTAGACTTGTCAGTATAGGGACATGAATGGCAATGAATGGGTTCTAGACTTGTCAGTATAGTAAATATGAATGGGATCTAGACTTGTCAGTATAGTGACTTGAATGGGTTCTAGACTTGTCAGTACAGTGACTTGAATTGGTTCTAGACTTGTCAGTATAGTGACTTGAATGGGTTCTAGACTTGTCAGTATAGTGACTTGAATGGGTTCTAGACTTGTCAGTATAGTAAATAATAGGTCATTCAAGACAATAATCACTCTTGCTGGTGAATTTTCTTGTAAATCTTTGTGATTGTGGTTGATCTCCTTGTTTCATAAGTGATTCACTCAACAGCAGCAAGAGTAATTTCTAATTAATTCACGTTGTGTTTACAGTACAGAATAGATGTGAGAATTTAACCTAATATATATTAAGTGTTGATATCTGTGCACATTCCTTCTTGTGTGTATAAATTGTAGGTTATTGTAAGTATTATACAAATTTACTTATTTTCCAATTTTCTTGTTCTTATTTTTTTAGTAATTCTATATAAATTACAACTACATGTATCTCTGACCAGTACATATAAACATATCAATATATATTTGTGTTTTTGTGTGTAAATGCAACACATTATTTGTGGCAAACTCATTTGGTCCATGAGCATCATTTAGCTGAGGGAGTAAGAAACACTTTCCATTTCACTTCTTTAATTATGATAGCAAAAATACAAAGCCAAATATATGATCTCATCTACCTGGGTTTGGTGCTTTATCAAATGATTGTGGCCTTAATAAAAATATTCTAGATCTGTATTCATGACAGATGTAGACCGACTTTCATATATAAATTTAAATCCCCCTATAAAGGTGAGATATCATATTTACTGGTTATCTAGCACAGGTATAATAACTATGTTATCTAAATGTTTGATTTCAGTCCCGATCAGGTACAAATATGCCCTAATTTACCATGTTTACTTCCAGGTATGCAGACATTTAAGAAAAATGAAGGAAAATAATGCTTGTCGACTGAGGTGACTTTTGATAAAGTAGGAGGTATTCACACTTTTTATAGATTTTTAGTCCCTAAATTATAATGTTATAATAACCTTGAAGTCTGTATGATGTGGACCATATCATGAAAAAAAAATTCTTACATTTTGTATTAAAAAGAAGAAATAGGCAAAACATCAATGAAATAGCAACCCAACAACAATAAAAATCTTAGGGCATGTAGAGGTTAACAAAAATGTCTTATATAATAAACAAATATCTATACCATACATGTATTTCAAGCTCTCAATGGCTCTGAATATAGTCAAGAAGTAAATAAATTCAACAGAAGTCATTAAAAATCTGTTATGCCATGGCTACATGTATCAAAACCAAATTATTTGAAAAATGTGATAGATGGACAAAAAATATAACTAAATCAGTTAATAATTTTCTCATAAAGTAAACTGTAACTCATAAGATTATATAATTTATGTTTAGGTTATGGCATCAAGTAACCCTATACCTTGCCGACCATGTAACCAAGGTAAACGAGGTAGAGACAACACTACAGCTGACTTCTGGTGTTACAACTGTGATAAAGGGTTATGCTTAAGGTGTTCAAGTCATCACAAAAGAATGAAATCATCATCTCATCACAACACTATTGATATTCAAATCTATAAAAGCTGTACACTTCCCATTGGCTCTATCAATACAGAATGTGACACACACCATCAGCAGTTCAACTTGTACTGCCCAAATCATCTAATGCCTTGTTGCGATGAATGTATTTCCACAAGTCATTCAAAATGCACTGGAATAAAAAGTCTAGCTAGTGTAGTGGAGAAAACCAAGATTGAAAAATCCAAGGAATCTGTAGAAAAGGATATAAACTCCATCACATATTTCTTGGATAAAATGGTTAACAGCAAATCAGAGAACATAAAAAGAGGGGAACAACAACATGACAGCATTAACGAATTTGTTATTAAAATTCGAAATGGAATCAATAAACATTTAGACCACCTGGAGAAAAAGTTATGGAAAGAAGCAGATACTGTATGGAGTCAGGAGAAATCTAAATTGACAAGTTTAATTACTGAAATTGAAGATAAACAGAAAACCTTAAAGGAAATGCTAGAAAATTTAAATATGGTCACAGAACATACAACAAAACTGCAATCATTTCTAGGAGTTCACCAGATTGAACAAAAAGTTCATCAATGTCAACAATATGTTGAAGACATGAAAGACAGTGAGAGGGTTAGTGAAGTTGACATCCAGGTAGAACAAAATGATGAGATAGAAAAGATATTTAGTGAATTACAATCATTAAAATCATTAGGAAAAGTGAAGGTTGTTAGTAAAACGGAATTAGTCTTCGAGAGAGAAACAAATGTGAAGAGAGAAGTTGAATCATATGAACAATGTAACCTAAACAACATGACAATGAATATTGATACCAAGACAGAGATTGGAAAGAAGATGGTTATTAGTGACATAATTTGCCTGATGGATGGCCGATTTATAGTTGTTGAATGGAGACAAACAGTTAACCTACTTTTTCCTGATGGCAAATTTCAGAAACAGTTACCAATATTAGGTAACGCCATGAATGTTACACAGATAAACCAGGACACTATCGCCATAACTTTTCCTGATGAGAGAATGATAAGGATCTTTAGTATGGAGAATGAAGAAGTTACCGACGGTATCAAATTAAACAAAGAATGCAGAGGAATCTCGTTCTACAATAATACTCTTCATGTTGGTTTGAGTTATGATGAAGTCCGTATCATAGACTTGAAGGGTAATACACTGAAGTCAATACAAGTAGAGAGTAAAGCATTCCTGTATTACCTTGTTTACTGTAATGACAGAATAATATACAGTGACTATGTAGACAATGTGGTATACTGTGTAGATGGATCAGGTAAACAGATCTGGCGATATACACAGGATTTATCACGACCAGAAGGACTTTGTACAGATACTTATGGTAACATTATTGTAGCAGACTGTGACTCAGATAGAATAATAGTAATATCAAAAGATGGAAAGGACAGTAAAGTACTGGTCAGCAAAGAGAATGGACTGAAGAATCCAAAATGTATTTGTTTTAACAATAACGATTTTAAAGGTTTTATTTGTGGTGAAAAGGGTGAATATTTAGCAACATTCAATCTATCTTATGAATAAATTTGGAATGAAAATTCAATGATGATACTTGCCAATAAAACTTCAATGTACAATGTACCTGAATGTAAATGTAGATTAATCTTATGTGAGAAGACATATAGGCAAATGAAGCATTGAAGGATTATTAACACTATATAGCATCTTCACTAGCCAAGGGTTACAATCCAGTCCCCTCCTCTCCACCCTTGGCGGATTAAGAGAGAATTTCGGATCCACGAGGTAATGCTTTCCATTGGTCACAGTCGTAACTGGCTGCATCCAATCAAAAAGGGCCTTTAACATGATCACGCGTAAATGTAGAAAATGAAGATAAACAATTGCCACGTGCTGATTGTGCAACAAGTCTTTACCCACCAAAACATATGACGATATTTAGTGACAATTTAAATGTATTTAATCAACTAATAGAAGTTCCTAAATATGTTTCCTGCGCAAATGATGGAATGTCAACGTAAATTTTCGGTTCCTGCTTCATGATGTTTGTAAACTCTTAGACGCTACAGTTTTTACACCTCCACACTGAAGAGAGTTCAAGTGTTACCATTGATCAAGAATAATGTATTCGGAATGGGCGTGACTTTTATCAACCGATAGATGGTGGAACATTAATATTATTATCGCAAATGTTGGCTTAATCTGCCAAGGGTGGAGAGGAGGGGACTGGATCGTAACCCTTGGCTAGCGAAGATGCACTATATAGCTGACTTTAGTTATTCTTTTTGGATCCCTCTTGGTCATACATAACTCCTAACTTCATGAACTTATAAATGGAAAGTACAAAAAAGTGCTCTCCAAAATACAAAACATTAGGTATTGTTTGCAGATGAAAGAGGTTTCTGCGACTCTTTTCACAAAAAATCTTACGATTAAAATTGATCGTAAGTTATACTGAAATGTGTATGACTTACGAGTATTTTTACTCTTAAGATTTTTTGTGAAAAGAGCCGCTGAATCGTAGAAAAAGTGTATAGTTTTGACATGATAATTATAATTAAGTGTACTACAAATGATAGTTTTGTTGGATTTGTAATTAAAAACATATGTACATGTTCTTTAACGGAATATACTGATATATCAGAAAATAAAAGAAAAAATTAATTTGAACTTTTTAATGAAATATAATATGCACCAGTAGTCTCAAAAGTATTGATTGATTCTTAACATGCTTAATATGAGTTGTAATTTTTTTTTTATTTCAAAAGCTCATAATTCAATTTAAAACTTTAGTGCTGATCTCACAATATTACTATGTAAACATAACTAAACTTGTGAACATGGTGAAGTCAAACATTAAATGGGTGCAACAACAAATGTTTCTCAGTTGAATATTATAAATTTTATAAAAACTGGTGAAGAGTGAGTTCAAAATTGATTCATGAAAGTTACTGAAAAGGGAATTAATTTATCCAAGTGACATGCTGTATATTGTCATGTACTATGATGAAGTGGCAATCTGATCCACTTCCTGTGACTGTACAAGTAAGTGACTAAAGTCATGTAAGTCAGGAGAAACATCATGGCAATCTGATCCACTTCCTGTGACTGTACACATGGTACATGTATAGTTGTATGTAAGTCAGGAGAAAGCATCGTGGCAATCTGATCAACTTCCTGTGACTGTACAAGTAAGTTAGGAGAAAACATCATGGCAATCTGATCCAATTTATGTGATTGTACAAGTAAGTCAGGAGAAAACATCAAGGCAATCTGATCTACTTTCTGTGATTGTACGTGTAAGTCAGGAGAAAGCATTGTGGCAATCTGATCCACTTCCTGTGACTGTACATGTACAGTTGTATGTAAGTCTGGAGAAAACATCAGGGCAATCTGATCCACTTTCTGTGACTGTACAGGTAAGTCAGGAGAAAACATCATGGCAATCTGATCCAATTTCTGTGACTGTAAAAGTAAGTCAGGAGAAAACATCATGGCAATCTGATCAACTCTCTGTGACTGTACCAGTAAGTTAGGAGATAACATCGTGGCAATCTGATCCACTCTCTGTGACTGTACCAGTAAGTCAGGAGATAACATCGTGGCAATCTGATACACTTTCTGTGACTGTACAGGTAAGTCAGGAGAAAACATCATGGCAATCTGATCCAATTTCTGTGACTGTACACATAAGTCAGGAGATAACATCATGGCAGTCTGATCCACTCTCTGTGACTGTACCAGTTAGTCAGGAGATAACATCATGGCAATCTGATCCACTCTCTGTGACTGTACACATAAGTCAGGAGATAACATAATGGCAATCTGATCCACTCTCTGTGACTGTACCAGTAATTTAGGAGATAACATCATTGCAGTCTGATCCACTCTCTGTGACTGTACTAGTAAGTTAGGAGACAACATCGTGGCAATCTGATCCACTCTCTGTGACTGTACCAGTAAGTCAGGAGACAACGTTGTGGCAATCTGATACACTTTCTGTGACTGTACAAGTATGTCAGGAGAAAGCATCATGGCAATCTGATCAACTGTCTGTAAATGTAAGTCAGGAGAAAACATTGTGGCAATCTGATCCACTTTCTGTGACTGTACAGGTAAGTCAGGAGAAAGCATCATAGCAATCTGATCAACTCTCTGTGACTGTACACATACAGGTAAGTCAGGAAAAACATTGTGGCAATCTGATCCACTCTCTGTGACTGTACAGATAAGTCAGGAAAAACATTCTGGCAATCTGATAAACTCTCTGTGACTGTACAGGTAAGTCAGGAGAAAGCATCATGGCAATCTGATCAACTCTCTGAAACTGTACAGGTAATAGTCAGGAAAAAACATTGTGGCAATCTGATCTACTCTCTGTGACTGTACAAGTAATATAAGTCAGGAAAAATAATAGGCAATATGATCCACTCTCTGTGACTGTACAGGTTAGTCAGGAGAAAATATCGTGGCAATCTGAACAACTCTCTGTGACTGTACAGGTAAGTCGGGAGAAAATATTGTGGAAATCTGATCAACTCTCTGTGACTGTACAGGTAAGTCAGGAGAAAACATTGTGGCTATTTGATCTACTCTCTGTAACAGTACAGGTAAGTCAGGAGAATTTCTCAGAAGAACATTGTGGCAAGCTAATCCACTCTTTGTGATTGTACAGGTACATGTACATGTAAGTCAGGAGAAAATATTGTGGCTATCTGATCCACTCTCTGTGACTACAAGGTACATCAGGAGAAAACAGTTTGGCAATCTGATCCACTCTCTGTGACTGTACAGGTAAGTCAGGGGTATTTCTCAGAAAACATCGTGGCAATCAGATCCACTCTCTGTGACTGTACAGGTAAGTTAGGAGAAAATAATCGTGGCAATCTTATCCACTCTCTGTGACTGTACAGGTAAGTCAGGAGAAAACATTGTGGCTATCTGATCCACTCTTTGTGACTGTACATGTAAGTCAGGAGAATTTCTCAGAAAACATCATGGCAATCTAATCCACTCTCTGTGACTGTACAGGTAAGTCTGGAGAAATCATTGTGGCAATCTGATCCACTTGCCGTGACTGTACAGGCAAGTCAGGACAAAACATCATCATGATCATGACAATTTTACTGATCATTTCCATGATGGCAATAAACTATAATGGCAGGTATTCATGTATCATAGGCATGTGTTTATGAATAAAATTGGGTAGGTCTAAATTGGTCTTACCTTCTTAGGACCAATACCAGAACCTCGAAAACCAAATACTGGTTGACCTGCAGCAGAATGTTTTGGATTTGGTGGAGGATGATCCTTTGGTTGGTTGGCATAATATTCTGGACGTGGATCATGCCAGGTAGTAGATTTATCAGAATGGTTGATAAAAAAGCTGAAATAGATTGTTGAATAAATTAAATAGTTCACATTGAAAGTCTACTTACAAAGGATTATCTTATGGTTATACATGATTTGTGTAATTACAACATGTTGTATGCCCCTTGCTGGATAACCATATTGTAATGTAAGCTTGGCCTATATAAAATTTTGTTTTATTGTCACAAATATCCATTTTACTACACTCAATTTGGCATGGAGTTAAACCTAAATCTATGACAAAGCTTAAAAAACAGCTATATCCTAAATCTATCCAGATACATGTAGCTCTATGTTAATATGGTGCCAACATGGGATACCTATAAAATATACTGAGATATTTCAGGGTGAATCATTGACTGATTTTAACCTCCTTTGTGTGAACTTCATGTTTCAATGAAAATTAGAGAGTACATGTACCACTTCAGTCTACACACTGTAATCCAGTCATGCCAGTAAATCTTGGGAAACTTGTTTCATCAATTTACATGTACTTCCATTTCTTCCATAATTTTTTCATACCAGATACATCATGTACATGTACATTGTATTACATACAGGTTCTTGACATTGAGGACGTTAACCACGTTATTGGGTTTGTTTGCTCCTAATACACGTTCGCAACATGTAGTTAGCTTGGTATGAATAAAATCAAAGAAGATTTGGTATCTTCCGCCTTTCTTTTTAATACAAGTCTTAGATGAATGAACTTCATGACAATCTTTTACTCATGATTCATTTCGTCAAAATAATTAATAAAACACTAAAGGAAAAAATACATTTTTAGAATATTACTTTATTTTGACATGTTTGAGGAAACAATACAAAAAACTTATTTCTAGCAATACATTTATTTAAACACGATTAAAAATGTATTTTTTTGAAAGGTGGCAAACGTGAATGGGAGCGCATGTGATTTTGGGCGAATGGACCTGGATTCTGACAACTTGAGTTAGGGATATTAACAGGTCATTTCATAGAAATGTAAAAATAAGAAGATGTGGTACATGTATGTTTGCCAATGAGACAACTCTCCACCAGAGACCAAAGCAACTATAGGTCACATCGAATAGGTCAACATTCATGTACAGCATTCAACACACAGCAAAACCCATAAAAAAATGTGTTACTTTTTTATGATGTAGCAAAGTGTAGTGGAAATGATCCTATGCCCATTTCATGCAAAGACAGATAGGCTTCTATTTTGGGCTTACGAAACCACTGGGCTAATTAAATCTACATACATCTTTACAGTTTAAAACTCTTGTGCAGTTAGTTTAAATCTAATATATTTATATGACCAGTCGATTTAAAAAGCTCACTAGAGCTTGTGTTTATGTAGTTTACTGAATATAAACTTTAACCCTTTAAGTGCCACGGCGAAATCGTAAAAATATACGTTCAGTGCCAAGGCATGTTTTTCCATCCAAACTGGTTCTGTATTATGACGTTACAGTACCCAAACGTCATAGTGTAGGCTTACAATGTACTACAAGAAAGTGTTAGCGGAAAACGTGGGAAAAATTAAAATTTACGGAAAAGTTCAAATATTGATTTTTTTTTGTGAATAAGCATAGTTTTTACCTACTATGCATACATAAATATATTTCTTCTTAAACAAAGGAGTTTAAAGTCTTATGAAACTTCAAATTAAACAAAATTTGGTTTTTTTAACCTAATAGCTGATTTTTCAAGTAAAAAACGCATACAAGGTCATCCATATTCTTTATAAACATGATAAAGAAAATCTTTTATTTTTTTGTCCATATCTCAATAATATACATGTACTGATATTGAATTATATCGTCTTCCCTTATAATAATTCGCAGACAGCTTTTCCGTATGCATTGTTCATGTGCTTAGTGATTTTTTTTTAATTGCAATTGAAAAAGTGTTATGAACAACAGTTACTGATAGAACATGTAAGAATAAATCATAATCCGATGATATTCATGTAAATAATATCTATTAATTCATGTAATTGGATATATAATTAAAGGCGAATTATAGTATATATATATAATATATATATATGTATAATTTTTGAAATTGGCATCTTCAACGTGAAAGTTTCAGCTAAATGATGTATAATATTTGATTGCACGTTGCGTCAGGTACTTGACCATTTCTACCACGAACGTTTTTGGTTGTCTTAATTCTACTTTTGCATTAATGATGTTAATTCCATATAGCTTTTGTATTAATTTTCAAAGATTTGTAAAAAAAGGCTTGAGAGTTGTGGTTTTTATATAATTATATGAAATGAATGCAAGTGACGATGAATTTAACGCAGCAAAATCCGTTTCTGTGGTTCTTTGAAAATGTGATCGACAGTAAATCTTGCAGGCATTTCGAATACATTTTAAAACACAGTAAACAATTCTACAATGAAAGAACATTAATTCTCCTTTCCTTGTACGATACATACTAATAGCGATGATATCAGAATATTGGAACATTAAATTGCCAAGTCAAGAGACCAAATGGTTTAAGAACATGCATGTTTAGTCGCAACAGATTTCAACTAATTTTTAATTCTAATCTAACTAACCATGCTAACAACAATAACCTCCCCGGCAGAAACAATCCAAACTACAGCCCAACAACAAAATTTCAGATTTATTCAATCGTCAGTCGAAACTTCATTATAAACAAGAATAAAACTTAAGTATATATGAACGTTTAGTAGGAACTCGCATTCGAACATGCATGCTGCAATGCATTCTGTCAAAAGGTTCTTAGTTTGGGGTAAAAGTTTGGATGCTGGTAGAGTCAGTGCAAGGATATATCATGCTCACTATAGTATATATACTTTTTTGTACATGTATATATATAGAGGAAAGACGTATAACCCAATACCACCAGGTCAACCCAAGGGTTGCTGTTCAGTGGTTGTCGTTTGTTGGTGTGGTTCATATGTATTTCTCGTTTCTCATTTTTTATATAGATTAGACCATTGATTTTCCTGTTTGAATTGTTTTACACGAGTCATTTTGGGAGCGTTGTACCTTGCTGCTCAGTGTGAGCCAAGGCTCCGTGTTGAAGGCCGTACTTTGATCTTTAATTTTTAAAATTTTTTTACATCTTGACTTGGATGGAAAATTGTCTCATTGGCACTCACACCAAATCTTCTTATTTATATTACTTCGTAAAAAGTACTAATGTCGTGTGTGACAGCTTCTTTACTTCTATATCGCTTGCTAAACATCTTTACAACTTGGCAATTCGCCAAAGCAGGAACATACTGAACATGATAAAACATACCATATCAAGAGCACGTGAATATAAATACGCTCGTAAGGGACACACTCTAATGTTTGCATATTGCGAAAGAGCACGAAGAAAATCGTTCTGCATTTAAGCCCAAACAAAAAGGCTACCCAAGACAACGAAAATAAACCCCTCGTAATGGAATTTTAATAAAACGACAAATAGACATAGAACGAGTCTTTAAAAACTACATACAACATTTTGTACAAGAGTGCACAAGCTGAAATATCTCGCCTTCTTTACTAACCATTGATTTAATGTTGATAGTCCTAAATATAAAGCTTTACTACAAGTAACAAATAAACTTAACATGATCCAAGAAAATGAGGTCAAGGTCAGATAAACCAAACGAGAAATACATGTACACCTTATAATCATTCAATAAACCAAATAAAGTTGACCTATTGCTTATAGTTTCTAAGAAACAGTATTAACCAAGAAAACTTAACATTGACCAATGAACAATGAAAATGAGGTCAAGGTCAGATGAACCATGCCAGACAGACGTGTACACCTTACAATCAATGTATGCATTAAATATAGTTGACCTATTGCTTATAGAATCTAAGAAACAAACTTAACCATGAAAACTTAACATTGACCAATGAACCATGAAAATGAGGTCAAGGTCAGATGATACCTGCCAGACAAACATATATACACCTTACAATCCTTCCATACAACAAATATAGTTGATCTATTGCTTATAGTTGAAGAAAAACAGACCAAAACACAAAAACTTAACACTGAGAAATGAACCGTGAAAATGAGGTCAAGGTCAAATAAAACCTGCGAGACTGACATGTACATCATAAAATATTTCCATACACCAAATATAGTTGACCTATTGCATATATAGTATTAGAAAAAAAGACCAAAACTCAAAAACTTAACTTTGACCACTGAACCATGAAAATGAGGTCAAGGTCAGATGACACCTACCAGTTGGACATGTACACCTTACAATCATTCCATATACCAAATATAGTAGACCTATACTGCTTATAGTTTCTGATATATGGACTTGACCACAAAAACTTAACCTTGTTCACTGATCCATGAAATGAGGTGGAGGTCAAATGAAAATTGTCTGATGGGCAGGAGGACCTTGCAAGGTACGCACATACTAAATATAGTTATCCTATTACTCATAATAAGAAAGAAATTAACATTACAAAAAATGTTGACTTTTTTTTCAAGTAGTCACTGAACCATGAAAATGAGGTCAAGGACAATGGACATATGACAGACAGAAACTTTCTAACATACATGACATAAGGCATCTATATACAAAGTATGAAGCATCCAGGTCTTCTAGCTTCTAAAATGTAAAGCTTTTAAGAAGTTAGCTAACGCCGCCGGATCACTATCCCTATGTTGAGCTTTCTGCGACAAAAGTCGCAGGCTCGACAAAAAACTGAAGACTGAGTAACAAAAGCCCATTACCGAAAAACCAGAAAGGGAAGCAGATACTGCTCCACATGTGCCCGCAGTTGTATCTATCTCCAATATTAAATAAATTGATAAGTTTTACCAAGATACATTCTCAACGTTATGGCACTGATTTTTTCAAAACGAGGTCTTGGATTCAAGCCTTGCGCCTGGTCAAACTTAAAAACTTTAAAATTGGTATTTGCTGCTTTTCCGCTAAGCACGCGGTGTGTAGAAGTAAAAGACATTCTGTTCATCCAGGAGTCAGAATTATGTGTTGGGTAAGGTAACTTGTCTTTCAACAGAGTTTTAGTCTTATTTTGTGAACTACATGTAGCACGTTAAATAAACCGACCTAGCGAGCCGGCCTAGAACAAAGCTTGGTAAATATTCAAATCTTGTATACCATCTTCTCGTCATAAATATGCATTTAACCTACATGTACCACTTTAAAAAAAAAAAATTTCCCGTTTATTGTTGAAAGAAATATTTTTTTATTAGAAATCAGAGCAAAATGTGCCTTGAGAAATTCAAGGGTAACTGTCAAAAACTTATGTCCACAGCATCCTACGACTGGCAAATACAGTCCTGACTTGGTAAAGAAAATAAAAAGTACTTAAGTAGACAATAATGAAAGCAAACTAAATTATGATAGCTAAACTAAAGTTTGAGAGAATAAAAAATATATGTATAAGAGACATATAGCATAATTTGATTTATCAGAAAAATATATTATCTTATTGATAAACTATTTTTCAGTTGCGTATTTAGTATACGCACCTTTCCTAAAAATTACAATGTTTAAATAATTTGGCGCGCCTTATGCATCTCAAAGAAGCACGGACAATGACGTTACCTCATAGTACATTTCATAGCATCAGAGTAAAAAAAAACAATGGCCCAAAAGTGGCCCCGTGGCACTGAACGTCGTAGGGAAAAAATGGCCCAAAAGTGGCCCATGGCACAGAGATGGTTAAATAAAACTTTGAATTGAATTATATAACCAAATGACATTTGTCTGTGCCTAACTTAGTCCAAATAATTATGACTTATTGCAAGGCTATTTTAATTTTTTTCTGTGACGCCTTCCTCAGAAAAAAATTAAAATAGCCTTGCAAGACGTCATAATTATTAGGACTATGCCTAACTGTACAAATTATGGCTAAATGTATCCCGCAATGGTGGTAAGTCGTGCACTTAAGGCCATTTTTTATTTTATTTTTCTGTAGACTTAGCTTTGTTTTTTTATTACTGTGTATTGTCAAGCTTGGTTACTCATAATTGTTTCTCAGTCACTGAATGTACGATGTTGCTCCAGACTGCAGCAGCTGACCCGGTTTGTTTACATTCAAATTCTAATGGCTTCAAAACCACGTGACACATTGAATCGTTATATCCAATCAAATTGCTCTACTGTCAATTAGGTGATTTTTTAGTACAAGGCAATTATATTTTTTGTTTGTATGATATTGCTTTGAAATAGTTTGCAATAAATTGGGGGTTTATTCAATAGGAAATCTCTTTATTAGCCATGAAATTTGATATCAATGGAATTTTATATGAATATTTACTTATGGTCAGAATATCGATCTCTTTATATTGAACCAATTTTTTTTTATGAAAAATATATGTATATTGTTTTTTATTGACCTACTCTATATTCCTGAACAAAAATATGGCATGATTATCGTTTGTTTCCCAAGGTTTTTTTCGCGGGAAAATCGCGTAAGACGTAAGGTGCTTGCCATTTTGAAATTCTTAAAAATACGATTTGCTTGGCCTGTTTGGTCTGCCATTAAGATTGATGACGCTAAATGGAATGTAAACAAAGCAATGGAGGCCGGAAGAGGGGATTTCTGAAGTTCTGGAATGTTTATAGGCATTCGGAAGTCAGGTTTGAAACGGCCATTAGAAAATTGGCATTTTTGTACAATACTTTAGAATAACAATGAAAACATATCTTTAGAAATGTTTGTTTATGTAGAAGAGTAGAAAAAATGTATTCTGCACTAATTTCGTACGCTGGTATTAGCGTAGTGACGTCATTGCGGAGTTTTCCCGTGTGATAAGTACAATAACAAAATCCGAACGAACCAACATTATGACCGATTATAGACTACGGTAGGATATAAAATTTTCATACTATGCTTTTTGATTATGATCCCAACGAGCTTCATAACCAGGTGGCAGTGGCGGTATCCAGGTTTGAACAGACATTATGCTTCCTCTTAGATTATTTCCTTTAGAATACTAGTCAAATGCACTGTCACTTACGCCTGTTTAGACGTTTGTTTATTTTGAAATATTGCCGGAAGTGAAATGTTGAGTAAAAATGTATAAATTATGTCTGCTGTCCCTGAACAATGGCTCTAGAAATTTTCAAGATTATGAACAATATAGCTCCTGTGTGCTTACAAAATTTGGTGAGTGTAAAAAAATCTAAGTATTCTTTCAGGTATGTAAATATTCTCGATGTTCCACAGGTAAAGTTAATCCGTTACGGTAAAAAAAATCTTTCAAATTTGGGATCAAATTTGCTGCCGCAACTTTATGGAACAGTCTTCCAAACCATTTCAGGATTGAAAATAGTTTTTCACATTTTAAAAGTCTTGTTCAGTTCTGGAACGGTTTGGAATGTCGCTGTTCTGCTTGCAGATAACTCTTGAGTTGTTTATTATTTATGTTGCTTTTTGTTGCTTTGGACTAGTATATATTGATGTATTTCTTCACGAATTTTTATATATAGATCTATCAGTTAAATTTTAACTTCTGACACATATTTCCAGAAATTGGGTAATCAATTCATGTTGAAAATATTCTGTTCTTTGAAATTTCTAGATCTCAAAACATATATTATAGTTCTAAACTTTTTTATTTAATTTTTTTAAAAGTAATCTATTTATTTAACTGATAGTTACCATATTTTTAATCTAAATTTTAAACAATGTTTTACTTCATTCTAAATCTGTTGCTTAATTTTTATTGCATGCTATGTGTGTGAGATTCAACTTTGTATTACAGGTTGTTTTATATCTTAGACTGTTTTATGTTATGTATATGTTTTTATATTCGGTCAAAAGCTCCTTAGGGCTTGTGTTGGATATTTAACTTATGCCGAATCAAAATAAATTTTTCTTTTATTTTAGTTATCTGATACATGTACCTGTATGGGTACGTTGAAGATTTCCTATGGGCCTTATTACAACGGGCTATTCAAAATAAAATGTAAGATAATAATTCTTTTTGTATAGATATTTTTTTTTTACATAATATGAACCAAAGGATATTAAACATACAGATATGGATGGAAAATGGAACAGTATATCTAACATGGATGGAGGGAAAAGAATGCCGGCTTAAGTTATCACGGTGGGTTACAGTGAAGAACTGAACGTGGACCTGCCAATGTCACTTTTGTTGGACCCTTGAATTAAAAAAAATATATAAATCTTACAAAATTAAATCCTTCAGTCAATATTATAAAATTGATAAAAAAAATAATGAAATAGTTTGTAAAATATGTTTGCAAAATAATATTGAAGACGAAAACCACTTCATGTGGAATTATCAAAATTATAAAAGGGAAAGAAAAATGTCTAAAATTTGTTTAAATTTTAAATCGATCAATAATGATAGTGTTAAATGAAAAATATTATTCAATAGTATGTATTAACAAATACTAAAGATGTGTTCTTATATTTCTAAATTGTCAACGGTAGAAAAGATGTATTACAAAAATATTGATTATATAACATGCATTTTATTTTTAACACATATACAACCTATTTGTATATTAGTTGCCAGTCATATATTGCATTTAGTATAATGCAATGTACTTTGTATTGAGCTTTATCCGATTGTTATAATTGTGTTTGTGGTAATATAAATATTGTCTATTTGTCAAATCAATATTTATGAATTGTGTCTTGCATATTTTTAAGGGGTTCAAATGTCTTATATATATGATAAAACTACAGAAAGCATCCGCGTGATCTTGAGCACCTATAATTAAGTATTATTCATATATTCGACCAGCAGTCCTTTAACCCCCAAATAATTACTAGTACATGTCACAGCATCCAAACGACACAAATAACACAATTACATCTAGATATCCATGCCCACATTATCAACAAATCCTTTAGATACTAGAGCGAGTTTTTATATTTTCATATGAAACTAATAGATTTAGTGTTCCATATAAACATACGAAGATTTTCCATGTACATGCATATAGTGTTTTGTGGATTTCATGTTGTTTGTCATTTCGTCTATAGTATTGGCATGGTGTTTGCCTCTATCGTGACTTTCGGCTTTTCCTTTTCGTTTGCTTTTTTTCGTCTGAAATAACATATATCTTTCTTGTCAAAATTTGTATTCGATTTTCTTTTGTTGGTGTCTATTCGGTTGAACGTGACTAAATAGATATAACCACGAAAGTATTATATTGTCAATATAGTACTTCCATGATATATAACCAAGTATATATAGTAAGAACTATTAAAATCCTTGATATAACAATATTCGTCTCAGCTGTCGAGAATTTTGGTCCTATTAACTTGTTTCTATTTATCAAAAAGCAAATACGTTTGAAGTTTATAAAAACTCAAATATGACCAATTAACTGTAACGAAATCGATGAAACCAAATACAGGCCACGGCATCTCGAGGAAATAGAACTATACGGCATGTCCTTATAGAAATTCGGAAATAGGTAAGAAAAATGAAGATTTGCTATTTTAAGTAGTATCCATGCATGCACTGTGATTACCACTTGTACATCTTGTATCAGTCTAAACACTCAAACAACACTTGGTACTGATTAACCGGATGTGGGTAAACAACAAAGAACATCAGCCTAAACACTCAAACAACACTTGGTACTGATTAACCGGATGTGGGTAAACAACAAAGAACATCAGCCTAAACACTCAAACAACTCTTGGTACTGATTAACCGGATGTGGGTAAACAATAAAGTACATCAGCCTAAAAACTCAAACAACAATTGGTAATGATTAACCGGATGTGGGTAAACAATAAAGAACATCATCCTAAACACTCAAACAACACTTGGTACTGATTAACCGGATGTGAGTAAACAACAAAGTACATCAGCCTAAACACTCAAACAACAATTGGTAATGATTAACCGGATGTGGGTAAACGATAAAGCTTAATTAGTCTAAGATCATGTACAGGTCACAGACGAGGAATTTATCAAAAGATTGGTTTTATTGCACTTTATTTATGAGAAAGAACAGAAACAGTCTTTTATTCTCCTGTCTTGCCGGGGTAAAAACTAATACAAATTGGGAGACAAATGAAAGAAGTTACGTCTTATAATTGTTATATGGAGTTTTTAACTACAGCTTGTTGATTGGGCAGTTAAAGTATGCAGTACTGATCAAATTTTCCCCCCAAAATTTTCAATGATTTATCAAATTTGTTTGCAACGGCAATGTCTATATTGCGCTGAATAATTTCGATTTTTTATGTAAAAGTTTATAATATTCAAATGCAATCGTGTTTCATATACGCATAATACATTATAGGTGGTTATATGTTAATTAAACTAGGAAGGTATACATTTTTGAACGACAGAGTCATTAAAATGCTAAATAAGTTGATAAAATCATTATCTCTGTTATTATTGTATTTTATTTTTACAAAAATGACTTATATGATCTTCAGGTTTTTCAATACGAGGGAACAGCTTCTCGCGATATAAAACTGTTATGATACGTGTATACTCATATAGTGGACTGAAAACGAAATTGTATCACTAAGGATTTAGATAAAATTCATACTATATTTATACAATGACGATTAGGGAAAGAAGGATTTTCATAGAATATGTGATGACTATGTATCTTGTATCATCTTTTATCTCTGTGTACACCCGTACAAACGCAAATTAATATCTATCACATGCATGACGCTGTGATACTGTGAATTTTTAGAAGGATGAAGGGATTTTCAGTAAATGACCTTGGTGGTAAGATGGATACACGTAAATTTGGTCCTACTTCTTTGTCAAAATTCATCAACTTTACCCGTTCTTTCTTTTCATATTGACAACCTAACATGCAATTTATCAACCCTTCGATGAAAGAAAATCTTACTTCTTATTATTTGTGCCAGCTGTTCAGGAAATGAATCCATTTTGATTTGGTAAGATATTTATATGTACATTGAATTTGTGCCAATTATAAAAATAATGAAAGGTGGTATGAATGCCAAGAGACACTTTTAACCAGTGACTAGACGATGATGTACCACTATAGGTCACCGTACGGCCTTCAACAATGAACAAAACATATACCGTATATTAAGATGTAAAAGGCATGACAAAATGTATGACACATTCAAAAGAGAAAAACGAACGCATGATTTATGTTTAAAAAAATTAACGAAAAAAAAATTTGACAGAAAGCAACCAGTGACTGCCACTGAATTACAGGCTCCTGAATTTGGACATGCACTGTCACAAAGAATATGGCAGAGTTAAACATGTTTATGAGCGCTCAATCCCCCTTTCATCAACACACACACACACACACACACACACACACCCTCCAACCCACCAATACCCACACCAACCAACCCACCACCCCTACACCCCCACACACCCACACCACCCTGAAAACATATATATATATATAGAAGTCTATAAAAAAGTTCCTTTATCCAAAAGCGTTCCCGAAACCTGTCGCTGGGCATCACTCAAGTGAATGTTCTGTTCAATCACTAGGATTTTCATGTGATTAAAGTCATCAAGTTTGTGACCCGACTGTCTGAAGTGCTGACTAACTGGGAGGGGTCGCATCTTAGAGATATCATTTCTATGGCCATTGAGGCGTTTGTGAAAGAGCTGCTTTGACTCACCAACATATTGGAGGCCACAAGCCGAACATTCTAGAATGTAAATAACATTCATACTTTTAAAAGTCACATTGCAAAATATCCTATAGTTATTTTCGTTTGCTTTACTGTGAAAAGGTGATGAGTGATGCATCTGTATAGGCAGCATGTGCAGCGTTTTTCATCACACGAACGACATTCTCCAGAAGTACTTCTCGGATCAGACACTTCAGCCCGCACCAGCAGGTTCCGCAGACTATTGGGTTGCCTAAAAGTTATCATGGGGGGATCGGGAAAAATCTTGGATAGTTTGCCAATGCTCACGAATGACACCAAAGCTGTTTTTTTAGAGATGGGTGGTAAGTAAGAACACATGGAGTCCGTTTATTTTTATTTTTATATTTGTATTCTAGCAGTTTGCTCCTTGAGATATTTTCCGCTTTCTGAAAACCTGTTTGAATAGTCTTGTGT